AGACTGTATATGTGATTGAAAGTAATTTGAGTGATGATTCTATTCAAGAAATAAAAAAAAATTAGTCCACTCGACTATTTCATTTTTGTGGATGGTTCCGTGGCTGTTAGCAAGCAGTGAAAATGACTCATGGTCATAGTGTGTACTTTCAGTATATACAAGGTGATTCTAAAATAGGTGGATAAACTTTGGGAGCATATAGAGTGGGTGAAATAGTTACGAAAACCTCTGTAACATTTTTTTCTGAAGTGACCCCCAAGAAAGATACAGCCCCTCAAAGGAATTCAGCCTCGGCAGTCAATCTACTACTTTGCTGCCTAGTTAAACATATAACTATTTCTGTTTTGCCTGAAGACGAATCTGGATTCTAAATTCGATTCATATTTAGTTTTGATGAGAAATATGAGTTGAACATACCTACCAAGTATGAATCGATTATACACAGTGGTTGAAAAGTTATGTCCTGACCATAGATGAAGATTTGCCAAAATCAAGATTACGTTGTATCACATTTATCAAAGATGTAAAATTCTTAAAAAATACAGTTTCAAACAGAAAGCACGAAAATCAGAAGAAAGTATTCCTCGATCGGAATAAATACAACAAACGGTACGAAATATACAGGGTATGTCACGACGAGCTTACACCATCTCTATATCGAGAATCAGTTGGGAGAAAGCCATGGAAATATGCATGTGATCAGAATTCTGAATCTTGAACCACCCTGTATCTGTTTCTATTAAATATCAGTAAATAGTGATACAAAAGTTGAGATGTGAGCCGTTTTGACCGATAATCAATAGTTTCGACACAAAAAATCCTAAAGTTGAAAAATATCGACTGAACACCCTATATCTCTATAATCATTTTCGATAGACCCCAAGTATGATACATCGATGAAATCAGCTCTTCAGGGAGAATCTTAAAATGCGATAAAATACAGGGTGTTCCGTTTGAAATATCACTGTTTCTACTAGTTTCTAGCAGAAGCGGCAACACTGCTTGTCGAACATATTTTAAATGAAGAGATCGTATACTAAAATATGAGGATGCACATTTTCATGGATTTATCCCGACCGATTCTCGATTTAAAGATAGTGAAATCTCGTCGTGACATACCCTGTATAGGTTATTGAAGTTGATTGAATACAGGGAAATATGAGAAAATATTGAGAGAATTTCTCTCCACTCACCAGCGTGAAAAAAGTGAGGCTTTGATGAAACAACACGAAACACTAGAACAACACACGATCCCGATATTATTATTATTGAATCGAATGAGGAATACAAAAACACTACACGAATCAATACAATCACTAAGTTTTTAGGGAACACAAATTTGTGTTATCATTATTTTTTGAAATGGTGAAAATGTAACAAGCACTCGAAAATATCTAATTAAAAATAATAATTATTCTATGGAATGAAAACTATCGCGAGTTTACCTAATTTGACCTAATGAAGTTGAACTTTGAGGACTGATTTTTTTTTTGTGATAAAATTGGATTCAGTATTAGGAGTTCTACAAAAATTGTATTTAAAAAAATAATGATGAAGAAAAAGTCAAATTGGATCCACACTGTTGAAAAGTAGGCCAATTTATTAAATTTTCCTGTTCTTTGCAGATATCTACATATCTCTATATCGAGAATCAGTCGGGAAAAATCCATGAAAATATGCATGTGATTGGGATTCTGAGACTTGAACCACCCTGTATCTGTTCCGATTAAATATCAGTAAATAGTGAAACAAAAGTTGCGATAGGGATGAAGATATTTCCAAAATCAAGATAACTTTCTGTATCACAGTTATAAAGGATGGTAGACACATCGATGTATGTACATGTAAATCTGAAACACCCTGTATGGCCAAAAAATATGTTCATGAAATAATTTCGAATCGTCTTATTTTCGTCTGGTTTGCTCTTTTCGTAATATTTTCTTTTGAAAAAATACCGTTCTGAACGGAAAGTACGAAAATCATAAGAAAGTATATCTTCATCGGAAAATATTTAACAACGGTACCTTTGTGATTTTGAAAACATAAGGTAATGATGTTAAAAGTAAAGATGTAAACTTGAAAGAGTTTCTCTGTACTCACCAGCGTGAAAAATGCGAAGCTTTGATCAAACAACACGAAACACCAGAACAGCACACGATCGCGATAATGTAATCACTGAATTGAATGAGGAACACAAAAACACAATACTTGCACTTATTTTTAAATGAACACTCCGTTTATTAAACGATAAATGAATCTTTTCTCGTATTTTTCGATGTCGATCACAAAATCCAACCGTATGTGACGACATCTAATATAAGACTGTCTTGATTTACCACCTGGTCCCGAATGAATGACTAATAAGTTGAATCATACCGATAACCGATTAATTTCCGAACAAAAGATTTATCTATGACTAATGATGATAATAAAATTGAACGGTGGGGGGTGGGGAGATATTTTGTATACAGGTGGTATTTTTTTCGAAAATCACTCACGATATGGAAGAATTTCACACAGGCTGAAAATATATTTCTTTCAAAAATCTTTCGTGATTATGGAAGAACTTGACATACAATATGTAGTGAAAAAATTGAACCCTTTCGATTATCAAGAAATAATTTACCACAGTTACATACAGGCAAACAATTTTTGTTTTAAAAATATTGGTCACACGTAGTGAAAATAAATCGAAGGAGTAGCTACTCTGAGATTTCTAGATGTATCGAGTTGTATCGGCTCATCTCATCCCTTTCTTCGTTCACTACAGCTCTCCTTCTTGAACTGAGTAGTCTGTCCATATGTTACTACACAGCACTGAGCAGTGGAATATAAATAATGAGTTGGTGCGACCTTCTTGTGATCAGAAATGTCAGAATAATTGATTTTTCAATCAAAAATTTGAATTATTCAAATTGGGATACCCTGTACATTAGGTTCCGTTGGTCCACATGAAATGGATTCATCTACCTCTTATTGTGGTTTCGCTGTGAACACTGCAATAAACCAACTCTTATATATGCATTTTCATTGTCAATAATGTTATTGAATCATTCAACAATAGTGATGTAGCATTGAAGTGTCATTCACGAAGTTAGTACCTGCACATCTTAAAGGCTTTCTTCAACTTTTAGGTAATTTTAAATCATCCGTGGATGCTGTTTCGTAACGAAGTACTTCTGTATCTCATTAATCATTTCTTCATCATCACTGATATCCGAAGTATTTATGATTTCGGAAATTATTGTAATAATAGTAATAAACTTCAATGAAACATTCATAATTATGCTGATTCCAAACATTTTTCCACTCGAGACTCGAATATTTGAGGTTATGTGTATCGCACCGTTATACAAGCATACAGTTCTGAGAACTCGAACTCTGAGCGGGCATCGAGCAAGTTTGAAAACCAGTGGAAACCATTTCTCGACAAAAGTTGGCTCTTGAAATTCCCATTGGACCACGCAAAACTCACTCAGTGCCGAAAAAGTTTGACCTCATTTGATTTTACTATAGGCGATTCTTATTCCGTGCGAAAAGCTACTTTACACCTCAACAGCTTCTCATGATCTACAAAGCGCAGATACGGTCTGTTCTAGAATACTGTTCCCACATATGGGGTTCAGCACTAAAACATACGCTGATGCTCTTAGATTCCATTTAGAGAAGAGCCATCCGCCTGGTGGGTGACGCCACACTCACTCACTCACTCTTTGACATCATTGAAACACCGTAGAAAGGTCGGCGATCTTTCACTTTTCTATCGATACTTCCTCGGGAAATGTACTTCGGAAATCTCTGCTATCATCCCTTCACTAGCAATACCAGTCAGACGAACTAGTCAAGCCCAGTCAGCACATCCTTTCGTTGTCAACCTCGAAAGATGTCGAACAGCACTTTATCAAAACTCCTTCATCTATAGAACAGCTAGGCTCTGGAATTCATTGCCTGAGGAAGTATTCCCAACAACATATTATCCCCAGAAGTTCAAAAAAAATTCCAATACCTACCTCCTATCCCTATCCTCCCTAGGAACGCACGATGTTCTTTGAACATTATAGGGATTCCCTTTCGTGCGCTCCAAGCGATAAAAATAAATAAATAAATGAAATGAGCGACACGCTCTGTTGCAGAAATTCAAGTAACTAATAGGAAGTACATTTGTTTGTTTAGATTCAGGTTTCTCTGTATTTCATTGAAAATTTAGTGGTCATTGTGATATTTTTCGAGTTTGAATTCTTCTGTAAAGTCATTATTAATCATTATTTTTCGATTTCTCATGGTATTTATGAAACTTTCCTCACTGCATTTCACAGAAAATTATAATTTCAACCAATGTAATTGAAAGATTTTTTCTCATTTCGAGATTGAATTCAGTTGCATTTTATTCCTAGAAGTGAAAACTTACAAAAGGAATTTGAAAAAATGGAATATTACTCAAAAGCAAAGCACCTAAGTTCAAGTGGTGTCAACTGTATGTCAGCATTGAATATGTCATCAGTCTATGTCATTAATTGTCTTGCATTAATTTTTAGGTTCTTGGGTTTCTTAATTCATGTCAAACATCTCACTGTCACTGTCTTGATGGTCTGTCAATTCAGATCATTTTTCAAGATGTCATATTTATTTTTTAACTCTAACCTCAGTCACTCGTTCCGCCGAAAATGTAAGAGCACATGTACAATTGCTTTTCTTTATTTTATTTAATTTTAAACAATGCACTTATTTTTCTCGGAAAACTTGAATTTTCCAGTGTTGAGCACATAATGATGTTCTTTTTGAGTTTTAATCTTACGTAAAAACTCTGACGAGTAGAACTTTATTATGATTTATCAAATTTATTAACCTATAACATAACTTCAATTCAGATTTTCTAATCTTCACTCACTTTCAGAAATTACTCCTGATGATGGCTTGTAGCCGAAAACGTTTGAGAATTTGCTTGTAATAAAGACTGTGTACTAAAGCCTTCGTTTGTTAATATTTTGAAATAAATAAAGGTCGAACGGATGGGCAAGAAACCAATGGACATGCCCGCCTACCTGTTGCCCGACTCCGCCCACATCGACACCAGCCAACCGCCGCCGATGGCGGGGGCCGGGCTGCTGCAGCCGCCGCCCCTCATGCCGATGGTGTCGCCCTTCGGGTTCAACAACAGGTTGATGGGCATGAACGTGCCGCCCGGCATGATGAACTTGCCCAGCATGCCGAATATCCCGTTGGGCGTGCCGCCGCCTAACATGGGCGGGATGTTGTCGAATCAGATGATGGGGATCGGGTCGCCTTTCCAAGGTAAGGGTTTTCGGTGATAGAGAGTAAGTGTTTTCCTTCAGGGGAATTGAAAATGAAAACAATACATTGTACAGGGTCATTCCGTGTATTTAAACAGCTTCTACAGGGTTCATAATTGAAGATAGAGAAAAACTTCGGAAGCCAAAGTTGTAGGGTTTGTTCTGAAAGAAAATTATACCAGATGAAACAAATGAATATCGCTGATATTAAAAATGGGTACCAACTTCGTTAACTTCAATGGGACACCCTGTATATTTTTCGAAAAAATACAAGATCTCTTCTTCCTGATCCCAAAAATATATAGGTCATTGATATTTGGTTCAGCCGTTTTCGAGATATTCGAGGTTGAACATTTTAGATTTTACCAAATCGCAACTGCCATGAAAGAAAAAAACTCACTTTTATAACTGGAGGAGATGCAATTTCACAGATGTTCGATATGACCACCGTTGTTTTGTATACATTTTCTGTAGTCTATCCAATTTATTTATCGAATTGCAAATGAGTGATGATTGTTCAATATTTCAATGCATTCCAAAATTCTTCCTCTCAAATCAGCCAAATTTCTACTTCTTTCCTCATACACTTCATTATTCAAATAGCCCCATAGGAAGTTATCTAGAGGTGTTGAATCTGGACTGTTCGGCGGCTATTCCACTGTTCCAAATTTTCCGATCCACGTTTGATAACGATCATTCAAGTGATGCCGTACGGGCATAACTTGATGAGGTGGCTCGAGCTTCCACTGTATTATTATTATTTTCGTAGAATAAATGAATCATTTCAAGCTTTTCATCTTCACTGAAACCCATATTTCTTTCGAAATTCTATGCAATGAACATATGACAGAACGTTTTATTGATGACAACTTGCGTATGTGCTGTTTTTTCCTCATGGCAATTGCGATTTGGTGGAATCAAATTAAAACTAAATCTAAATGTTCAACCTCGAATATCTCGAAAACGGCCGAACCAAATATCAGTGACCAATCTATTTTTGGAATCAGGAAAAAATATAGGGTGTTCTATTGAAAATAACGAAGTTGGTACCCATTTTTTATATCAGCGATATTCATTAAGTATAATTTTCTGGAGGTTCAGAACAAACCCTACAATCTCCAATGATGAACCCTGTAGAAGCTGTTTAAATATACGGAATGACCCTGAACAGGGTTGACCAAATTGGACACTTTTAAAGGGAAATTCCTTTTCTTGAACCATATGGAAGAAAACTGATGTCGGGTCGATTCTCATGAATGACTCAATGGTGAAATCCGCATATCCGATATCTGTTTTCGTTTGAGAGTTGAAAGGTGTTTTTCGAAAATGGGCATTTTTGAAAAGTGGCTACAGATATTTTTTGGGCAAAATTGTCTGTTCTTATGAAAATAACTGCAAAGCATTTAGTTTGTGTGTGAAAAATTGTTCTCGAGGCACTGAAATCGGCATTCCTATATCTAGTTCAAGTATATAACTTGTTCTTGAAAGAAAAGTTCTATTTTGCATCTAGGTATACGGTGACAGATTTCACTGCCTGGATCAATTTTCATGACAAACACCAATTCTTTGAAAATGTTTTCATGAGAACGAAGAATTTTCGAAAAAAAAAAAAGAATTTTGACCACTTTTCAAGAATTCACATCTTTGAAAAACACCTTGTAACTCGGTAATAAAGATAGATATCGATATGCAGTTTTCACCATTGAGTATTTCATGAGAATCGACCTTCAGGCACCGACATCAGTTTCCTTCCATCTTGTTCGAGAATAGGACTTTCCCTTTAAAAGTGCCCAATTTGGCCCACCCACCCTGTACAGACTGTGCCATTTTCGATGTCCTTATGAGATCTCTATCTTATTTTTGAAGATTTGCGGCTTTCGCGAAATCATGATACCGCAAACAAAATTTTCATAGCCGCTTCGTTTTTGAGATACAGGGCAAAATTAAAAATGTCCGATTTTAAAAATAAGCTGTTATTATTTAGATATAACCCAAAGTTATGTTTATTAAATGGAACACCCTTATATTTTTTCATATTTGAATTATTGATGCCCTATTGTATAAGTCGGTACAATGTCATGTATTTTATTGGCCCACATACTGTATATTAATTGAACACTTGTGATGATCCTTGAGTAGATATTGAGGGTTAACTAAATAGAACTATAAATATTGGCCTTCTAGTTCTTTGAGTTCTGTGTTCACGCCCCAGGTCACCCTAGATATGCAATTTGTCTGTAAACGACTTGGTCCATTTTCATCGTGGTTTCCTTAGGACCGCCCGGCATGATCGCGCCGCAGATCCCGCCGATCGACAGCAAACCGTCCTCTGTCAGCACCGAGGCCGACCTGCACAACCTCAGCAAATCGCTGATGAGCATCACGCAATCGTTCGGCATGGTGCAACAGCCGCCGCCGGCGCCCCACGAGGACGCCATGGACGTGGAGATGGAGGACGCGGAGAAGTCGCAGGAGAAGGGGGGCGCGTTCGACGTCCCGCCGGCGGCTGGGTTCGGTAGGTCGGGTCGCAGCGAGGAGAGGAGGGATCGAAGGGACGACAGGGATAGGAGGATGAGGAGCAGGGATAGAGACAGGTGGGTGTGTTTGGCCATTGTCGATCTAAATGGAAACCTAGTAGGCGACCTAGTGCGAGGAGGTATAATATTGTCTGTTCATTCAATCAAAATATGTCTGTCTGTCAAGTGGCGCTGGGGATGAGAAAATGGAAAGAGCTCATTTGTTTATGTCAATATAGACCATATTAGGTTGATATTCTCTTCTTCTATTTTTCTCCAAAATGTACTCAACCACAGACGTGCTTTCCATCATTGACGTGATATTTGATACAAAGGCGATGAAGAAGATTCTTTCATGAAATTGTGATGTCATCAAAAAATCATTTTCTGACAGTTGTGATTAACTTATAACTTCGTCTTTGTGAATATGTTATACTTTGAATTCGTATTCTTGAAAATTACAATTATTCCTAATTATTTCTTCTAGTATTGGTTTTCTATTGAAGTTTGTAGATTGGTTTGTGAGTGCGATTGTGTTATTTTGCAATGTTATCTGAAAACTTCGCACTCCAGGAGGTGGAGGTGTAAAATTATCAAGACCTTAAGGAACACGACCTGAAGATTAAGAAGCATCTGAGGAGGAAACGGGCATTTGAACAGATATTATAGAATGATAATAAATAATAATGAAGTTTATTCAAAATGATTACATAATATAGATCAAAAAGTTATACATATTGGTATTGAATATTCCTATGGTTCAATTTGTGGCAATTATAGACATCTTCCCATATTCAGTGAAGTTAGTGGATAAGATGATTTTATAAAAAATAATCATTTTTCAGCAAAACATATATTTAACCTATATACCTTTGGTACAATATATATAGTGTTTTCAAACTCACCTGCCAATACATCTGTACAACAATAAACAGGGTATCAGGGGAGAACAAATTAGTAGAATAAAAATTGCAATATTTCTTCATAATTATATTCAATTTATTAAAAAATATATTTGTATTGTCATTCGTACAAGTTATTTTCCAATGAAAAAAATTTTAAATATCCCAGCATCTTGATATTTTGTGTTTGGAGCAGAATATCCTTAAGACATTGATGAAATAAACAGATTGAGTCTAACCTTATTGCTTCTATATATTCATTTCAGATGGGAAATTTTCCATTCTGTTCTCAAACATCATCATCCTTCTGGTACATTTCTTCTGAACATTACTCACATAATGATTCCTGATGTGATTCTTCCACATCAATTTGTTTGTATCACTCATAGTTTTTCGTTTTTCAACTGAAAAGCTATTCATGTAAATACTCTTCGCTGTAGGTAGGTATCTGAAATTTTCAAGTATAGTGATTCCGATGTGTACATAGTTTACATCACTAAAGACATTCACTGCAAATAACGGAATTCCATGAATTATATTGTAACTTATCAAAAATATAGAAGGAAATAAGCAGCCCCTACTTTTCTGCTTGGCTTGCATGTCGAAAAAGTGTAAAAGCACTGATGAGTTTCCGAAGTTTCCACAGTTCCAACTTAAATTCAAGTTGCATCATAAGTCAACCTGATACAAGATTGCCTAAACATCTCCCTGCTTCCATTCAAGTATAGGTAGATGGTTTTCATACTTGATAATATCTTTCGTGATAATGTTTCATTTTCGGGTTTCAACATGACAGATTTTTATTTACAAACTTGACAGGACCATGAAAAATGTTATGGGTTAGGAATAAAATATGAATAACTTAGTTTACTCAGTTCACGTAGATGTCTCTGAACTACATATTTTCTTCAATTGTCTTTTCAATGAACAGACAATATTATAGCTCCTGCCTTCTAACTACCTAACTAGGTTGTCATCTAGAACGACAATGGTTTGGCAATGAACTCAATATAAACAACTGGAAGGGAGACGGCCGTTCTCTCGGACAGCACAAAGTGTGTCAGGGGCAGCTGCAACAAAGAAAGCATGATTTACGGCGACCTGTCTCTTTCCTAATCTTGTTGTTTAATGGTGGATTGCTGTTTAGGTTTTCTTTTATCTTATATTTAAAGTACTTTAGATTTTTTTCTCTCATCTAAACAGGCAACAAAGTGAAGACATAAGTTCATTGTCTTTGGTTATGTGAAATATATATTCATTTGGCGTGTTTTGTTTTATGAAAAGGACTTAATTTGTTGGTGTGAACACTGTGAACTGATTATTGAGAAGGTTTGTGATTTCATATTGATAAACAATGGTGATTCATTTGGATGCAAGAACAAGCAAGACAAAAGGAAATTGTCATTCCATGGGTAAGTTGAATATTGTTCAGATTTTTGAAAAATATAGGACTTGAAATGATCAGTTGAAAAACTATACCTATATTATTTGTCAAAGTTAAATACTTCCATGACTTTTCCATAAACATATTGAGTAATATTATTTGTTGCAGTTTTCCATTCAGACATTCTTGAATTATGGATTAAGGCAGTTCATAGAGAGAATCTACTGGACTACATCTTAAACCAGCAAGCTTTGTGGAGAGCATTTCCTGCCAACTGATTATTTATTCAGGCATACCAGGTACTGCTAGGTTATTGAAATCAGATGCTGTACCCAGTATATTTTCATTTCCTAAGCATTTGTTGTACCTAGTTGATTAATAATGAAAAAAAGTATGTTTGCATCTCTTAAAAATGAAAACCTAGCTAGTAATTTATTTTCAGGATGCATCTGTGGACGTTCATAACTTGGGTCCTAAGGAAGATATTTCTCATATTATGGACTTTGATTTGCCTACGACTTCCAGCTCTCAAGTTTCAAAGTTCATCAATAAAGAAACTCAAACTCTTCCATTGGAGAAGGATATTGTATTGAGAATTGTATTTTTTTTAATTTCTAATAGGGATATGATTGTAGGAAAATGTGAAATGGAAAAATAGGAACCTATGGAAATTATGCTCAAAATGGACCTTAGGAACTCAATACCATTCAAGAACCTCTTTTCGAATTTTTGCTATCGTTTTTCTCTTTCTTCTCATAGTGCTGAGACATTGTTCTTCGCTCACCCTGTACAATATATTGTGACATTTGAATGAAAATATATGATTTCAATTTTGTATTCATTTGACTTCCTAATCCTGTAAGAATAAAAATGAAATTTCATTTTAAAGTCAATAGAAAATCAATATTTTTTTAATGATAATTGATTGCAACATTATCCTTTTTCCTACATGAATATTTATATTCAATCACGTTTACTCTTGAATAAAAGCAAAAAACGAGAAAATATTTCAAATAATGCGAGCGCTTCCCATTAGCCAACATAAGATAGAAAGAGATAGGTATCCGTAAACACTACGGGTTGCCTGAACAATGTTTTTGCCTCACTCGTCGTTCACAGAGGGTCCAATCCAGGTATTTATATTGAGTTCATTGGTGTTTGGTTATTTTGATGTGTGGTATTTTTTTCCAGAATAGACGAGTCGACTTATTTATTTTTTCTACAAACGTCAAAAAATGACAAGGTTCGCGCATTGATAACAAATTGCGAAGTGACACTTTTTTTCCTACTTTACCATGATACCTTGCACAAAACAATGGGCAAAGTGAAACAGTACCTACTTCGCGCATTGTTGTGTAAAATATATGAGATATTTATATTTCAACTTCATGGTCCTCAATCGAGCAAACATTCACGAAATCATTTATTTCTGAATGTTCAACAACAACTTTGTTTTATCTCTTGGAGCGCAGGAGAGGAAATTCCTATTATGTTCGTGGAACATCGTGCGTACCTAGGGAGGATAGGGGGGGGGCTTTTTAAACCAGTTCAACACTATTTTTTATATCAAGCTAAGCATATTTTTACTTTAGAACTATATTTTTTGACGTTTGTAGAAAAAATGTTGTTTGCAACTCGAGCGCGAAATACTTTGGTCATGTCGACTATTTTTTTAACGGTAGATCTAGCGCGAAAATGGTAAACCTGGCAACTCTGGCCACCTCAGTAGAACAACCGTTATGTTGCCAAATGCCATTCTTTCCTATAACATTTTGATAGAAAATCTGTACAAGAAGTATAATAAATAAACCATCTTTCTTCGATAGGGATAGAGAGAGAGATCGTGGCGGCCGAGACCGTAACGGTGGCAGAGACCAGGGCAGAGACCAAGGCAGAGATCAAAGTAGAGACCAAGGCAGAGATCAAAGTAGAGACCAAGGCAGAGACCAAGGCAGAGACCAGGACAGAGACCGCGATCGCAAAGACAACAGAGACAGAGATTTCAGCAGAGGCAGGGACAGAGACAGACGCGACGACCGGCGCGACAGGAACAACCGCTGGAACGAGCGCGACAGAGATTTCCGCGACAACGGCAACGCTAGAGAGAGACGCGATAATCAAAATCGTGACGTCACGCCGGCCGACAACAACAGAGAAGATCGTCGCGATCGCGAGAAGACGCTCAACGACCGGCTGAGAGAGATGGCAGGAATGGGAGCCGGTTCGGATGAGGGGAATCGAGATAGGAGCAGAGACAGACCGTTCAGGGACAGGAGGGACAACAACAGCTCGAGATTCCCGTCCGCCAGGGACAATTTCTCTGGCAACAACAAGTCAGCGCGTGGGGAAGCTCCGGAAGAGGTTGACAGGCCAAACAACGAATCGATCAGATCGGAAGAGTCATCTACTAAAAACGAAGGAGCGATCGAGAAACCTGACAATGTTGTTCAGGAGCCAGAAAAACCTGCCGACATGGAAGGAGAAGGTGGTAAGGTAAAGGAAGGGGATGCCGGAGAAGACGTTTCTGCAAACGATACCGACATGGTTGAGCAACCAGAGGAGCAGATAGGCGAACAACAGGAACAACTCGAGGGGCAAAAGCTTATGTTCGAACCTCCGCCTGGTCGAATGTTCGACGGACCTCCAGATGGGATGTTTGACGGGCCGCCAGAAAGATTCGATGGTCCGCCAGAAAGATTTGATGGCCCACCAGAAAGATTTGATGGCCCACCAGAAAGATTCGAAGGTCCTCCGGAGATGTTCGACGGTCCTCCGGAGATGTTTGACGGGCCGCCAGATAGATTTGAAGGTCCCCCGGAGATGTTCGATGGTCCACCAGACAGATTCGATGGTCCTCCCGAAATGTTCGACGGTCCTCCCGAGATGTTCGACGGGCCGCCTGGTAGGATGTTCGATGGACCGGATGGGATGTTTCAAGATGGACCGGATCGAAGGTTCGGTCCGCCAGATAGAATGTACGTATATCTTTTTTGGTTTTTGTGCAGTTTTAAGAAAAAAAATTCGCTTCTGGTTGAGTAAAAAAGAATAGCATTCATCTATACTAATATTAGTTATATTCTTTCAATCTGAACTAACTGAAATATTTCACTAGAACTGAACTGAATCGTTCTCTCGAATGACGTTCATTATGTACAGTGTGTCCAGTTTTCGATGCTTTTGCGTGATATCTCAGTTATCTTTCGAGATAGAACCTTGCGGTTTTCGCGGTTCTGTGCCACTTTTCTGTGAAACTCAAGGTGGCCTAATCAGATTTTGCATAACTGTTTGCGTTTATGAGATACAGGGCGATTTTGAAAATTTATACTTTTTGGACCCCCTCTATATCTACGAAGTTTCTCAGCGAAAATGTCAAATTGGAATCTTATCCCATACAGAATTTAGCGCAGAATTCAGTGGCGCACTCAATTTTTTTTTCTGGGTATGGTTTCGGAGATACGACTCAAACTTATGATTTTTTAAATGGAACACCCTGTATTTTATAAGCTCATTAAATTCCTTATTTTTTCCCCATCAAAATGAAATATGATGAATGGGTATTAAATTTTCAAAAATGCTCCAAAATCACTAAAACATTGAATTTTAATAATGGGCTACGGATTTTTCATTTAAAAAAAGTTCCAATTGAAGGGATATTTAATTTAATTCTTCCATGAAAAGGACAAAAACTATCCCAACACTAGTTAATCAAGATAACACAAAAATTAGGTACCTGATAGCAACAAATGAATGGTAATAAAAAGTTCATATTCTAGAATAAGCACCTGATTTAATATTCACTAATAAGACAATTGAATAGTAACTTATTCATTGAATTGTTCAAATGGATGTCCACTTTCCCTCACACGCTTTCTCAATACGTCTTAATGCATTCAAAATCATTAAAGGATGTCTTTGTAATTCCTGGAAAACTGCCTCTGTTGTTGCACGAAGTTCTTCAAGATATTTGTGACTCTTACTGTATCAAGACGTATTAAGAAAATGTGTCAATTGTGTGTTATGGGAAATGGACATCAATTTGAACAATTCAGTGAATAAGTTATTGAATAATTCCGAAATTCAATTGTATTTGTAAATATTTGATCTGGTGCTTATTCTACATTATGAACTTTTTATTACTATTTATTTGTTGCTATCAGGTACATAATTTGTGTGTTTTCTTAGTTAATTAGTGTTGGTATTGTTTTTGTCCTCTTTATGGAAAAATCGAAATTAATATTCCTTCAATTGGACCTTTTTTATAAGAAAAATCCATAGCCCACTATTAAAATTAAATGTTTCAGTGATTTCAGAGCATTGATGAAAATTTCATATACATACATTATAAATCATTTCGAAGAGAAAAAAATGAGGAATTTTATGAGCTTATAAAATACAGGGTGTTTCATTCAAAAAATCATGTTCGAGTCGTATCTCCAAAACCATACCCCGAAAAAAAATGTTGAGTGCGCCACTGGATTCTGCGTGGACTTTTATATGGGATGAGATCTAAATTTGACATTTTTGCTGAGAAACTTCGTAGATATAGAGGGGGTCCAAAAAGTATAAATTTTCAAAATCGCCCTGTATCTCATAAACGGAAACAGTTATGCAAAATCTGATAAGGCCATCTTGAGTTTCACAAAAAAGTGGCACACGATCGCGAAACCCGCAAGGTTCTATCTCCAAAGATAACTGAGATATCCCACAAAAGCATCGAAAACTGGACACACTGTACAATGCATGTCAACTGATTCAGTTCAGTTTGAGTGAAATGTGTCAGTTAGTTCAGAATGAGAGAATAATATCTCTATTATAAAGAGGAAAGATTTCATTGTTTGTTTGTAATGAATGGCCTCCGAAGATACTGGATCGATTTGGCTGAAAATTGGTGGGGAGGTAGCTTAGAACCAGGAGAAGTTTATAGGATACTTTTTATACCGGTACCATTAGGAAATTCAAGATGGCGGATCTAATATATCGGACGAGTTTTGTAATAATGGTCCGATTCTATTCAAAATTGGTATCTGGGGATTTTCGGGGTCGGAGATGATGATTCTTCCGACAGAATTGAAAATTCGGGCGGAATTCAAGATGGCGGAATCAATATGGCGGACGAGTTTTGTAATTATAATCCGATTCTTTAAAAATTGGTACCTAGGGGTTTTCGTGATCGGAGATTATGATTCCTTCGTCAAAATTCAGAAATTCGAGATGACGGATCCAAAATGGCGGGTATTTTAATTAGGATCCGATTTCATTCAAATTGTATCTATATGGTGGTTCTCGGGGTCGGTGATTATGATTCTTACGTCAAAATTGAGAAATTCAAGATGGCGGACCCAATATGGCGGACGAGTATCTTAATTATGATCCGACTCTCTTCAAAATCGTTATCTGGGTGTTTTCGGGGTCGGAGATTGTGATTCTTCTGTTATAGTTGTGTACTTTATGTCATTGTTTTTGTAATTAATTGATCTTTTTGTGGGCATGTGTCTCATTGTTTTTGTGATATACATATGATATAATTTTTTAAAATTCAATGTCAGTTCATCAGTTTGTGACCCACATAAGTTGATAAGCTCATTGGTGAGCTGAATATGAATCTGTGCAATATCAGTGAATTTTCTGTAAATCACGGTTTGAAACTGAATCTGTCAAAGACTATTGTGATGTGTGTAGGTACTAAAAGTATGATATCTAGAGCTAAGGCATCTCAAACGCTAGAAATCGTTTTGGACAATGTTGTAATTGACCTCAGTACGAACACAAAAAATCTAGTAATTATCCTCGACCGAAAATTTTACGTTTGAGAAACACATAATGAGTAAATTAAAAGTGTGATATTTTAAGTTCAAGTTGTGGAAATATAAGTATGTACTCCCACAAGACACAAAGTGGAATCTGATCAACGCTCTTATACTTACACACACTGATTATGGATCTAGTGTATATTATTACTACTTAAATGAACGAATAAAGCACAAATTACGGGTTCTGAAAGTTGATGGTACATTCGCTCTGCTTTATGGTTCTATAATTTATAATGTGATCACTCAAAATACACCACTTTATCTCTATAACTTGCTCCATATGAGATCCACTGAACATTCCGTGAATTTACGCAACATAGACGACTACTCAATGCCTAGGCATAATACAACAAAGTTTGAGAGATGTTTTGAATATGTTGCTCCGACTTTGCTAAACAATTGCAAACATATATTTGGTCTAACTTACCACAACAAATTTGAAAATGCTCTGAAGGAAAAAATTGTTATCAGAACAGCAACAACATATGTATACTTCCGTAATATGGGAATATGACAATGCCGTAGTATCAATATCAACATCATAATCTGTTATTATCTTCATGTAGCGTTGTTCTGGTCTCAACAGTTCGGATAATTTTAGTATACAGTGTGTCCCACTTACCATGCTCACCATGGGTATCTTTTTAACGGTGAGAGATACGAGGTCGGTTTCAAATGTAGGTCATAGCTCACTATGACTTAGTTACAAATAACTTTTTTTCCTCTTTCTGATGATGTGTCGCAGTAATAGTTTTGTGTTGATAACAACGGATTTATCGTCATTTATACAAAAACAAAAAATTATTCGGAAGCCGCCATCTTGAATTTATGAATTTAAACAAGAAAATCATGATCTCCGACCTCAAAAACCCCCACTTACCAATTTTGAATGGAATCGGACCAAATCTTGTCCACCATCTTGGAGCAGCCATTTTTTTAATTTTAACAAAAATCACATGATGTATTGTCACCGAAATTATGATCACCTGCCAAATTTCAAGTTGATCGGAGTTATGGAATTTTTGTTGAAATAAAAAAAATGGCTGCTCCAAGATGGCGGACAAGATTTGGTCCGATTCCATTCAAAATTGGTAAGTGGGGGTTTTTGAGGTCGGAGATCATGATTTTCCTGTTAAAATTTATAAATTCAAGATGACCGCTTCCGAATAATTTTTTGTTTTTGTATAAATGACGATAACTCCGTTGTTATCAACACAAAACTATAACTGCAACATATCATCTGAGAGAGGAAAAAAGTTATTTGTAACTAAGTCATGGTGAGCTATGACCTACGTTTGAAAAACTAAAGTTGGTGCTGATATCTCAAATTCTAGGAAAGTTGGTATAAATTTCATATTTTTTTCGAAATGACTGAAAAACTGCCATAAGAATGTGAAATTCCTATTTGAATATTTTCATAAATAAAGAAGTTATGGAGGAGACATGAAAATGATCAAAATCTGTTTTTTGCGTATAAAACAAAAACGAATAGATTTTATCAAAATATTTTTAGTTCGCCCTGACAAACTTCACATTTGGTGTCATTTAACCGACCTCGTATCTCTCACCGTTAAAAAGATACCCATGGTGAGCATGGTAAGTGGGACACACTGTATAGTTTCTTATTGTATTATTATTACTATTTCATCTATCATTAATTGTTCTTATATTTATAAATATTCATGTTGTATGAGATTTTCTTGAAAGATTGTTGTTATTTCCTATAATTTTGGCATCATCAAATACAAGCGGAATTGAAAAATGGCTCAGCCAATATTCTAGCCTTTTGAAGTTCTTCTTGACTTATCTACATTATAATATATTAAGGTATATTTCTCTCTTCTTCTTCAAAAAACATTTTTTTTTTTTTCATTGATTGAAGCATCGACAGCTAGGTCATTATCCTTAAACATTTTTTATTATTATCATTATTATTATAATTTATGTAACTTGAATATAATATTGGACCCAAGATTGAACCTTGTGGAAACTACACAGTGAGATGAAAACTTCACTATTGGGAACTTCCTCATCAAAAACCCATTCGTTCGCAGGATGTTCGAAGGTCCGCCCGATCGCATGTTCGACGGCCCGCCCGACCGCATGTTCGACGGCCCGCCCCGCCCGTGGGGCCGCGGCAGGGGCAGGCGCGGCGGCCGCTCCGCCGACTTCATGGACGACGCGATGCACTTCCGGGGCGACGACCGCTTCATGAGGGGCGGCGGCGGCAGGCGAGACTTTCGCGGAGGCGGGCCGGACGGGGAGTTTTTCGGGCCGCGCGAGGAGTTCGGCCCGCGCGGTCCCCCGCCCCCCATGATGATGAGAGGGGGAAGGGGGCATCGAGGACGCGGGGGACAGTTCTTCCCGCCTAGGGGCAGAGGTAGAGGAGGTGAGTACTAGAGTTCCTAAATGTACTTAAGATCAAGTATGAAATTGAAATTTTGTAAAATTAACGCCTATGAATGTGACGTGACAGCAATGTCATGTCAGGGACGCCAATACACGAAACCAAAGGCACTAGACGATTAAAAGGGAAAGGAGCTATGATCTGTCCGTATCCTGTTAGATGACAAATTGTAACACTCCACACTCTGAGTTCAGAATTTGAAAAATTTTGAAACAAAAATATGAAAGTTTATACTCATTAATAGAGGAAAAAATTAGCAAATAAGCTGTTGATAGCAACAAGTACAAAAAGCAGATTAAAGCGGCAAGGCAGGTGATACTTAACCTTTCACTGAAAAATAATTGTATATGATTCATTATATTATAAATCTGCAATTTTACAAAAATATTGTTATCAAGTGTTAATAAAAGATATGACGAACTCAAGTATCGAATAAATTGATATCGATGACCAACTATTACATAAGAAACAATCAGTTATATATTATAACCTAACTCAACTCGAATGCAAAGATATGCAGATATCTCTCTTAAATATGAAATTCCATCAAAAATATATCAATTAATATTTAATTCAATATGTAATAATCAACTCTAACAAACCAAATGTCAGCGATGACTTGTTATTTCATGCGAAATATAAAGATAGATCCAGACCTACCAGATATCTTCAATTCCCACAACCTATCACTTCAACCTTTCAAGTCGGTAGCTAATATCAGAAGGACTCGATTTTCCTATTCGTTCTTCGCGAAAGATCCTGTCATATCAATTCCTTCTCCTGATTGGTTATTTAGTCTCCCTTCTTCAATCTTCTGTGTCGCTGTCTAGCGGGAAGGACGAGCGCGCAAGACTTGATAAATTCGATATGGTTATTGAACCGGTGAAGGGCTGATAAGCGGAAGTAGATAGAAGAACGAACGGACGTCAGATAATTAAATGGTTGATTGATTGAAAAACATCTCAACGGAACGGAATGATCCTTACAAAATACGTCAGCTTGCATCAATTAACCCTAGCCATAATGACAGCGAAAAAAACTTCGCTTTAAGTTTTTCAGTTGTCAGTGACAATAGGAGCTAACATTTTCAGTTTCACCAGTTGGCTAGACTAGAATAATTATTGATGTTCAGATTTATTTTCACTGACCTAAAATATTGCATTCATCAGAACATAAACTTCCTACACAAATAACATCATTATTTTTATTTTTTATTTATTTTATTTATTCATTTATTGAAAAAATAACTTCCAGGCTAACATGATTATATACCTATAGGTAAACATATCATTATCCAAAATATATCAACAACTGTAAATTGACAAACAAAGAATAATATTTGTAAAAAAAATGGCATGATTAATTTGATCCAGTTCGCTAAGAAATAATCAGTTTTTTAACTTCATTTTTGAATGAATATTTCTGCAATTTTTTATATTGTCAGGTAGTTTATTGAATTCAGTTAAGGCTGAATGAGTGAATCTTTTTTGTCCGATTATGGAGCTAGCGGCGTCAAGATGAAACAAGTTATATTGTCTAGTTTCATGATTATGAATTTCAGAATTCCGTATCAAAATAATATTCGACTTCAATTTTTTATTTATGATATTAAATGATATTTTGAGAGTTTCAATATATTTCATCTAAAGAATACGTATTTGTTATTTCATACAATTGATTGGTTGGTGTATCAGGTCAATTCAGAGATGGCCCCAACTTCAACCCGCGCTTCGACGGACCCATGTTCGACGGCCCGCCCTTCAGGGGGGCGGGGCCTCGCATGCATCCGCCCTTCCGGGACGGCCCACCGATGATGCGCTTCCGCGGTCCGCCCGGCTTCGACGACGGCCCGCCCGCATTTGAAGACGGCCCGCCTGCTTTCGAGGACGGCCCGCCCGCCTTCGAGGACGGCCCGCCCGCCTTCGAGGACGGCCCGCCTGGCGGTGATCGCTCCGCCAATAGGGACGGTCGCCGCAGCAGGTGGGGGGCGGAGTCGGCCGAGCAGCCAGGCGAGGGGGCGGAGTCGGAGTCGTTCGCGCCGCCAATAGCAGACGAAGGGGGCGTGGCAGAGAGGGAGACGGGCACGCCGGTGGCGGACGAGCGGTCGCCGCCTAGGCAGGAGGCGGGGGAGGGTGCGGAGGTGGTGGGGGAGAGTGAGGCGGAGCCGGCTGCCGAGTAGGCGGAGTAGCGAATTTAGGGAATCGTTGAACAGTAGGTAAGGATTTGTACCTAAATTGAATTGTGGTCTTTTTTTTTTCATTTGGTCTGGTCTGCAAACGCTCAAAGAAGATAAACAGGTGGGAATTTCCGATGATTATGGTCATGTTCCGATATTGCTGACATTACTGGCCACAGTAAGCAATTTAGGAACACTAAACAGTAGCAGTAGCTTTGAATTTTCATTTCATTTTGGAACTATTTTGGCAGTACTGGTACACTGGAAGCAAAACATCAACCTAGGATCTTTCGATTTTCGATGTTTCATTTTGTTGGCTTTTATTTTAAACATTCTTATTATTATTTTCCTTACGTTGAAATTATGGATGGAGTGATTCATCATTTTATCTTAGAAGATATATTATCATCCGATAGTAATTCTGATTCATCAGAAACACCAAGCTCTAGTACCTCTACGTCTAATCACCACTGTGAGATCTTACATTTTGACTTCATACATTTTCCCAAAGTATTTAAAAATAATAATATATAATTTTTATTGACTCATACCTAACCATTCAAACACTTAACCTAACAGTTCATGAATATTTACACTACATCACCATTTCTGCAGCAGTGACCAACAGTAAACTTTTAGCCTCTAACAGGGTTCCTTGCAATGACCCAAGAAAACTTTGCCAGTAAATTTCAGTTAAATTGGACCGATAAAATATACTGGGCAGTATTGTTCGGGAATATCGGAACATGCTCAGAGCCGAATGGATTTAAATGGAATAAATTTTTGTACTGTTTTTGCTCCGATATGAATTTCTGAGAAGTTACAGTGTGTTGCCAGCAAACCAATGTAACTATCACTGTTTCAGCCAGGGCTAAAATTCAAATTATTTTGCATGCAATGAACAAAAAAGTTTCTTATTCTTATTTTGATTTATAATATGGTTTCATCGTTTTCGGTAATTATTATTCATAATCAAAAGCACATGCTAACTTTTTGTCATTCATTATTGAGCAAAAACAAAGTGACTAGAATTTGATTTGATTCCATCCACTATGATTAGATTCCTAGACAAAGACCGTTCACAGTTTGCAATAATCAATTGTAAAAAAAATCAATGATGTTTTGTTTAGGTGCTTTAAAATTGTACATAGGTTTTAAAAATCAAAGATAAAGTGAAACGATTATATTTGTATGTAATTTAGAGAGTGGACACTTAGCTGTGATGTGGTGCAGTGAACACAGGTGAACTCAGAATTGTTTGGCTGTCAATATTATAGTAATTAGAAAAGAATAAATATTTTTTATTTATTGATTCTCTGGTTTTTTCTGCCACGTTTCGACAGAGATACATCATTGACAAAATCCATCTGTGTTCACGACAGCTGTGGAGAGGAGCTCAAGTGTAAAGTGGAGGGGGTTGGTATAAGGTACAGTCCATTTTTTTCTTTATTAATTTTTAATTATCGGTATACAGGGTGTTTCATTGGGAAAGGCACGAACGTCAACAGTAGATAGAGGTTACCAAGTTTTCATGACGGTCATCTAGGGACTTTAATCAGTTTTGCTCATTTCTCTTAAGGGGCATAACTGTCGAGTCACTTGGTATATGTGTCTGATATTTGGTACATATGTTTTCCACCTACAGCCCAAACGACGAACATACCAGTCAGAGAAAAATCCAGGACTGGATTTGATAAAATTACACAAATTGTTGTGATCAAAGCAACAACCTGTATTATCAATTTTCAAAATCGCACTTTCGAGGTTGAAAAATAAACTTCGCTAAATTGCCTCCACCTTTTTCGTATCAAGTGTTATTGAGCGAATTGAACTCAGAAAAAATCAATATATTGAGTAAATTTATTGAAAAGAGTAATACTAATTTATAGATATATTTTCTTAAATTTACCGTACTAGTAACATCTTGAGTACATATTATTATAAATGTGATTTGTTTGTAGATTGGGATGTGTTGTCATAGATTTTCATGGGAAAAGTTAGATTTGAATCCTTCTTATATGTTATAAAACCATCACTAAAAATGAGATCTAATAATATACCTATCAAAAATTGATCCTTAAAACTTCTCAAAATAACCACGAAAGTACCAAAAATACCGGATCTGGTGAAATTGATACCGCAAGAAATCAGAAAATCAAGAAGCATAAAAGAAGAAGAAGAAATGACATCGGCACAATAATAATGATAAAAACGGTTATATAAGATGTTTGGACATGAAAAAAAAAACACACCTGTATCATGCAATAAAAATGAGTACTCTCAAATATTTTCATGATATATGGAAAAATTCCAAAATATTCAATTTATTCCATTCAAATCCAAAAAAAACTAATTCAAGTCATCAAAAGAACACTGTGTGATTCCACCTCATGTGCTTTTTTCATTTGAAAGCGAATTTTCAAAATTTTATGATATAGGGTGCTTTTTCACAATAAAAAAACTCACTGAAGTAGAAGGAAAAATGTGTACCAAACAATCAGGAAAATATACAGGGTGGTTCGTTAGTTATAAAGTTTTGAAGAAATGAGCAGAATATGATATTTTCGCTATCTACTGTTGACATTTGTCAGTTTTCCAATGAAATGCCCTGTATTTAGTAAAATAATTCAATTTGGTATTGACAGTTTTAGACTGAAGTCTCTAAAAAACCTCAACTATGAGAACAGCTTTTTGGATAATATAGGACACATTTTGGTTTAGGATGCCAAAATTATTTAATATTTCTCATGATTTCAACAATTTCATTTATAGATAGAGAAATACTTGTTTCTTCTATTTCAAAGTTCAAGTTTCAACGTACTGTTAATTTTACTGGATTAATTAATCTGAAGAAATTTAAACAACTGACGCAAAAAAAATTTTGTGCGCCTGTCACAATATTTAGAATGGTAGATGTTTTTATTAGTTTCTTAGTAGTGTTTAAGTATGCAGTTAGATATTCCTTGGCAACACATCATCTTGAATCCATATTATGATCATTTAACCAAGGAATTTACAAAACCTGAAAGCTCACATAACATGAGGAAAATCCTCATAATTGTATATTCTGACAACATGTTTTTTTTCTAATGCATTTAATATTATCGCCATAGTTCAAACCATAAAATCCTGGAGTTTTCTACAACAAGATCAAAATTTAAAAGAAACACCTTTTTTTATCATGAAATTGAGATGATACTACTCCAAAATATAGAATGATTATCATGGAAATATAAAGAATCAACGAGGAATAATTTTTTGAATATTCAATAATTTGTTTGTTTCCATTTAGTGTAGACTCTCACTGTATATCAATACTTCTCTAGTCTGTAGACTAAATATCTGAAACTTCTTGATTACCAAGTTTCAACTTCTGCAAGGGACATTAAAGCCAAACAAGTGATGGTAAGTAAATTGTTCTAAGTAGGGTTACCAACTCACAATCATGGGTGTTCAACAATTATTTTTCTCATTTATCAGTTTTACTTATATAGTTATCATTGACATTCATTGATATCATTTTTGGTAGATATTTTGAATGTCTAAAAATTATCTCACAACTGTAATTTCAAAGAAAGTTATTCCAAGAGAATTGAAGAAAGCTTAATCTTAATAATAATCCTAAGTTCAGTTGGTAACCCTAGCCCTAAAGAATAGTTTCTATGAAATGCCATATATGGCTACAGATGGTATTTTGAAATTTGTCATTATTCCTGATTTAATAATTTATTGCATATTTCAAAGATATAGGAAAATATGCTACCAAATAGTGGATTTAAAATCAGTAATATCAAACTTCCTTTGAATACTTACCACACATTGATACAAAATTGTCAGTACCTACTTCATAACTTGGTCAACAATAAAATGAATTCTTTTTTACCTTGCATAAATTAAAAATTATCAGACACAGTTAGGAGTATATTTTGTATCTTCTTACAACCCCCTATCATTATAACAATCAAAAATGATATTGTAAGCACTTTTTTGATTTTTTATATTGCTGAATTTATTAATTAAAACATATTGACATATTGATAATTATTATTGATCACATGATTTTACATTGCTTATTCCTTACCATGTTCCATCATGTTCTCATATTCGGGGTTATCCTGTAAATGTAGGTGATCATGTATTTGAAGTGTGCTCTATTTTAAATATTTCAGCAGTTTTAGACAAATTTATCAGTGAAGTTTTAGATTTTTTCAACCTAAAATGCTGTTTATGAAATATAATCACTAAGCTGTATATTGCAAACGAATTTATATTGTCTGTAGCTAAATATGGCATTTGCTTTAATATTCTCCTGATCAGAAAATAAATCTTTTGCATGATCTTTGGAATGATTATGTATTCAATATTCCTGAAAATGGATTGTTCATTATTATTTGTGTTTCCATACCAGATTTATTTTCTGAACATTAGAGATATAATTATTGAAGTTCTGTTTCAAAACACCTTTATACATATTCAAAAATATGTTTTAGATGTGTATTTACAGAACAGAGCTGTCAATGGATCAATGGGTTCAACTTTTTGGTTGTTTTGTTACTTCATATATAGTGGTATAATATATGTATGATTATTATTCATGAATACAAGTGTTTTAGAAATAATTTTGAAATTCATTTCTTATCCATAAAAGTACATGAAACTTCAGTATACCGGGTGTCAACGAATCTATTAGACAAGTCATAACTTCTAGACCATTAGGTGTATCAAAATGAGATTTGGTATAGGTAAATGGTATGTGAAGAGGAGAGTTTTCACATATTTTTCACTTTCTGGTCACTTCCGGTTTCACCGGAAATGGCTCCGGTACTAAATTTTTAAATGGAACACCCTGAATATTGTAACATTTTTGGATTTTTGAGACAGTTCTAGATCAGAATGTCACATTTTCGGAAGTTTTAATGCCTACTTAATTTTTTCGGAGTCACTTTAGAAATAACATCTAGGTGGCCATGATCGGAAGTAAAATAATCTAAGGACCTCAGGTGATATCAGAAAATTACAATCGCGAAGTTTCAGTGACAAGTATGATAGATGTGAATAAGACAAGTTGGCAAAATTACATTTTCGTGTCTAACTATTATTTTTCAAATGGCGACCATTTTTTGACAAGCACTTTCCGAAAAAAGGATATTTTGACGAATCTAACGATACTAATTCATTTGCGATTGGATTACAAATAAGAACATAAATTGAATATTACTGACGAAAATTCTTCATTCTTCATAATAATTTATTTACTTTTGTCAAGTGTGCCGAGGATAGGCATGATGCATAATATTTTGCAGTTATTTCGATCAAGTCTTCTTGGAAGAACAAAACACTCACTTAGGTTATGACAGTGACATAAGCTTCAAGAGCAGAAGGTGAAATTTCCTTGATTTTCGTTGAATTTTAGTTTGATTATCCGTCAAAATAATGTATACTCAAAGTGAAAAAGTGGATATGTTGTTATTGTTTGGAGAATATGTCTGAGAAATTCAAGGAATGTTGCTGAGTTGTATGCTCAGAGATATCCCAATGGGCAACATCCATCCCATCAGTATTTTCCGTATGTTGAGAATCGTTTAAGGCAAGAGGGAAATCGAGAGGCAGAACAGAAGTTTATCATAAATGAGGAGACTGAGATTAACGTTCTTGCTATGGTTGAGGTTGACAAAATAGTCCAATAAATGAAGGAGGAAAAAAGGCAAAGTCAACGTTAATTAAGCACTATTTTCATCTTCCGGTTGGAAGTAGCTTTTGGTACCTCATTAAACATGATCCAAAGTTTGACTGGAAAACGCGTGCGATGGCGGAGAAAATGACCCCAGAAAATAGCAGCAGAATTCCTCTTTCACATGAACTTTGAATCATGAGAAAATATGCATTTTTAACAAAGTTATTGAATAATTTGTCCCCCCGCCGATGTGTAAATACACGGACTGTGCTCTCCGGCATACAACAGAAGCTCATTATTCGAGGTGCGCTTCGTGCCGTTTTTCTCGAAACCGGGCAAATTTTCGAGAAAAATGATAAGGACCATTTTTGTACAAAATTAACTGTACTTCAATTTTTATCTGAACCGAAAATCTCTAACTGCCATATTTTAGGAGAAATTGGCCGAAAACCTATTTTCCTGGTCTTTTGGGGCCATTTTCTCCGCCATCGCACGCGTGTTCCAGTCAAACTTTGTCTCATGTTTAATGAGGTACCAAAAGCTACTTCCAACCGGAAGATGAAAATAGTGCGTAATTAATGTTAACTTTTTCCCTTTATTTATTGGACTAAACGGTTTCTTTAAGAGAAATTAGTTGAGAAATGCAGAAGCACGGATATCGAGCATTTAAATATCAGTTACATCAACATTTTTATGCTGACGATGGCGATAGACGAGTAGTGTTTTGTGATTGGTTGCTTCAAAATCATAGAGTCAACCCAAATTTTATCAACTTCATTCTATTTTCCGACGAATCACGATTTACAAATAATGGCTTGTTTAATAAGCAAAATTCTCGGTACTGGGCCCAACAAAATAAACAACAAATTTGTTGATCCAATCGCAAATAAATTAGTATCGTTAGATTCGTCAAAATATCCTTTTTTCGGAAAGTGCTTGTCAAAAAATGTTCGCCATTTGAAAAATAATAGTTAGACACGAAAATGTAATTTTGCCAACTTGTCTTATTCATATCTATCATACTTGTCACTGAAACTTCGCGATTGTAATTTTCTGATATCACCTGAGGTCCTTAGATTAGTTTACTTCCGATCATGGCCACCTAGATGTAATTTCAAAAGTGACTCCGAAAAAATTAAGTAGGCATAAAAACTTTCGAAAATGTCACATTCTGATCTAGAATTGTCTCAGAAATAAAAAAATGTTACAATATACAGGGTGTTCCATTTAAAAATTTAGAACCGGAGCCATTTCCGGTGAAACCGGAAGTGACCAGAAAGTGAATATGTGAAAACTCTCCTCTTCACATACCATTTACCTATACCAAATCTCATTTTGATACACCTAATGGTCTAGAAGTTATGACTTGTCTAATAGATTCGTTGACACCAGGTATGTTATTTTTTTAGTTATTCCATAATTAATTCAATATTTTGCAAGAAACATAAATAATTGATGAAGAAGTTGAATTATTTTTAATTTTCAATTTCTATACAAATTCCATGCCTGGAAATGACTCATTTGACTCATTTCATGAACAAGATGTCAATATTATCATTAAATAATGTGTCTCAACATATTGCACAATTTGTTTTATGCCTTTTTAATGTTCTTATTCATTTTTTGGAGTAGTCTGGTGGAAGAGTTGAGTGTTTTCTTTTCTGAATTTGTTCACAATAAAAAAACTCATAATCAAGAATCACTTTTCATATCTATGAAAAAAAAACAGGAAGTTTTAGTTTTTGAAATAATAAAAAATTGATAGAATTGCCATTTTGTTATCCTCATTTATATTGATGGATCTAAGATTGATATTTCAGAAACAGGTCCTTAAAATTGAATCTAAACAAAAGAAAAAGGAGAAGTCAGAAATAATATACATACTGATTATCCTTTTATTGATTTTTGTGTCCAATAATCATGAAAAATTTCACTTTCTAAATTAACCATTTTCATTGTGGTCAACTTTTCAGAACATTATTTGGTATAGTTTTTGAAGCCCTAAAACCAAGAAAATTAAAAACATTTCATAATGATACATGACAACCATTTACCCATATTTAAGACAATCATTGTGTGTTTTGTATTCCATTGTTGCAGTAGAAGGTAAATTCAATAGTCTCTTTAGAGCATCTCTAATTCTAGAAGTAGTGGCTTGATCAGATGCAGTTCGATTCCAAATACTCAATAGAAACTCTTGATAGCGTGTTGATACTACTACACCACATATTTCATTACCAGCCTAAAGCAATATACCCATTAATGAAACTTTAAGCATTACAAAGTTTTTGGCTCACCATGAATTGTTCACCTAACATGGCCATACACAAATTTTCCCATGCTCTACCTGCTTGTTCTTTTCTTAATCTTATAACCTATAAATTGAAACAAAAATAATCTGGATTAATCAGTTTAAACACCTCTGAGTATGAAGTATTGTAGAATAAAAATTACTAGCCACCATGACTGAAAAGTTATGTTATAAGATTGGCATACCCATTTTCCTCCCTTTTTATTAGCTGCATCTTCCCACATTGGCTTTATACCTTTTTTAAACAGATGTAAATCCCTGTGAGCTGGTATATCTTGTAGCCTTGCCATATGGGAATACAGAGCCCACCATTGTTCTACAGTTCCTACTTGGCCTACCAGCCTCAATGCCTGAATATAACCCTACAAGTGGAATATTCGTTTGAATCATTAGGGCAATCTTTGTAGGCTGTAGGTATATCTACCTGAACACCTTGTATTTGTGAAGGTCTTTTAGAAAACCAAAGACAATATGGGTGTTGCAAGCGGTGCTCTCCTGGCGGATATTCAATAGGGCCCAGATCAGTTATACTCGGGCCATTATCTTCATCACCACTTCCACTATCTGAATTATCCTGTTGATGATGTTTCAGCCTGCAATTCAAAATATGAGGACCAGCATGTGAATGTTTTTATAGTTGGTTTCTTTACGTTTCATATTTATTTGACATTTCTAAATTTTTGTTATTGGTATTATAAACCATATAAATCGTTTATCACAGTCAGAAAATTAATTAATAAGATTTTTTAATGTTTATTATTTATTATTGTAGCGATTTCAAAAATGCTCAAGTCAAGGTCACAAGGTCCACAAAAATAAAATTTCATAGATTGACATCGACATTATGACTAGAAATTATTGGTTCTTTGTAGTTTATGTGTTCTGTGAGTGGCATCTGTCAATCAAATGTGAAGTCCAAGTCAAAATAATGACTCGTGAAATATGAAGTTACGACGTTTGTGCTTGCTCTAAGTGCTGAACTCAATTTTTTCTATGACTTCCTCGTAGTACAAACGAACAGGCCTTATGAGTTCGGGTGCGTTTTTCATTCCAACATTTTATCATGCGCATGAATCGAAGAAACCATCAAACTGTTGCAAAATTCCGCTGGAATGTTGATGGACATCCATCAAACTGTTGTAATAAAATGCGTACTTTTAAATCGTATTTCCAGAATCCACCAGTTTGGAGGAGATTGACATGACAGTTGACGAATTTTAGTGTTGTTTTTTGTTTTGATTTGATAGAAAACAATGAATATTGAGGATTTTTGAGATTCTTGAGAGATTTCAGAAGGAAGAGTCAGTGTTAATCAATAAAATCGAATTAGCCTCTTCTGATTCTCAAGATACATTATTACTGACACACAACAAAATCCGTGTTTCCATCAATGTGTTGTATAAACCATTGTTCAATCCTTCCAGCATAAATTCCAACAGAACAATTGGTGACGTCACGACAAAAAACCGCATCTAACAGTGCGCACTTTCTTCGATGGAATGAAAAACACGCCCTTCGACTTTGGCAAGTTGAGCAACACAAACGAACAAACCTATCGAGTCAACTGTCATTGTCAATTGACTCTTGTTTGTTGTTTGATTGATGGTGATGGTTTATGCAAGTTTATGGTTATCGTGGTTGTTGAAGTTGAAGAACGTATTTTTTTATAACAAATAACTAATAAGATAATAGATTAAACTTTAAGTAGATTCAAAATCAATCTATTGAATTTCGCGTACCGGGTATTTTCCTGTTCGCTGTTCGTTTATATTCCTACTCTTCAGATGTATCGGTAGTGATCTGAATTTGCATTTGCATATCAGTCGTAAATTCAAGATGGGCGAAAATGCCATTGAAGATCCTAAACAAGACCTAGATGTCCAACGTGAGCCTCGTGAGCCCGTTCAAAAGACTAGATGTTTTTTTGATGTATCGATAGGTGGTTTGAATTGTGGTAGAATCGTCTTCGAATTATTTACGGATGTTGTTCCGAAAACGTGTGAAAATTTCAGAGCTCTGTGTACTGGGGAAAAAGGTGTTGGTGAAGAAACTCAGAAGCAACTTCATTACAAGGTAAGGCATTGGAAGTGATAAGGGATTTGTATTTGTGGATGACTGTTATCTATTCAAGGGTGTAATATTCCATCGGGTAGTAAAGGATTTCATAATCCAGGCAGGGGATTTTACTAATGGAAATGGTACTGGAGGAGAAAGCATTTATGGGGGAACTTTTGAAGGTACTGGTTTGATTCTCATATTTATGATGGAACTATTATATATTTATTAAAGTGAAGTTATCCACACATTTCCATCCACACTTTATGACGTGAAGAAAGTTGTATTTGGAATACACTGTGGGTGAGATGTTTATGTGGGTCACATGCGGTGTTGCCAAAGTTTAACAAATATCATTAGATATTTCATTAAGACTGTTGAAGTATTGATTTATAAAAAATCTAACAGGACACATACAAGACATAGTGTATCAGCTCTTGTATTTGGAATACACTGTGGGTCACATGCGGTGTTGCCAAAGTTTAACAAATATCATTAGATATTTCATTAAGACTGTTGAAGTATTGATTTATAAAAAATCTAACAGGACACATACAAGACATAGTGTATCAGCTTTTTATATCAGAATTTGGCAACAAAATTGAGTGAAGTCGAATGATATATAATAATCATTTACACATCAATTATTACAGCACATAAAACATCTTGAACTCTTTGACAGGTCATTAAACATATGATTACCAATATAGGTATAAACACTAAAAAATATCTGTGCCAACCTGTAGGGGAGATCGAAATATCAAAAATATTCAAAAAAAAAATCATTTTCTCAATTATTATACAGTGCCTGTCATCTTGAACTATTTGGGAGATCATTAAACACCTAATTACCAATACGTACACACACAAAAATATCTGTGCCAACCCATAGGGCAGATGAAAATCTCAAAAATATTGGAAAAAAAATATTTCCCCAATTATTACGGCGCGTGTATCTTGAACTATTTGAAGAATCATTGAACACCTCATTACCAATATGTACACACAGAAGAATATATGTGCCAACCGGTAGGGGAGATATGGAAATCACAAAAATTCCAATACCTACCTGTCCCTATCCTCCCTCTGGGAACGCACAATGTTCTTTGAACATTATAGGGATTCCTTTCGTGCGCTCCAAGCGATAAAAAAAATACATTTTCTCAATTATTACGGAGTGTGCCATCTTGAACTATTTCACAGGTCATTGAGCATATGCTTATCAATACATACACAGAGAAAAATATCTGTGCCAACCCGTAAAGGAGATGGAAATCTCGAAAATATAAAAAAAATCATTTTCTCAATTATTATGGCGCGTGTTATCTTGAACTATTTGACAGGTCATTGAATATATCATTACCAATACATACACACCGAAAAATATCTGTGCCAAGACGTAGGGGAGGTGGAAATCGAAAAAATTCATTTACTAAATTATTACGGCGCCTGTCATCTTGAACTATTCGAGAGATCATTCAACACCTCATAACCAATACGTACACACAGAAAAATATCTGTGCCAACCCGTAGGGGAGATGGAAATCGCAAAAATAATAGAAAAAAATAATGTTCTCAATTATTACGGCGCGTGTCATCTTGAACTATTCGAGAGATGATTCAACACCTCATCACCGATACGTACACATAGAAAAATATCTGTGCCAACCCGTAGGGGAGATGGAAATCGCAAAAATAATCGAAAAAAATAATTTCCTAAATTGTAACGGCGCGTGTCATCTTGAACTATTCGAAGGATCATTAAACACCTCATAACCAATACGTACACACAGAAAAATATCTGTGCCAACCCGTAGGGGAGATGGAAATCGCAAAAATAATAGAAAAAAATCATTTTCTCAATTATTACGGCGCGTGTCATCTTCAACTATTTGAAGGATCATTAAACACCTCATAACCATTACGTACACACAGAAAAATATCTGTGCCAACCCGTAGGGGAGATGGAAATCGCAAAAATAATCGAAAAAAATCATTTTCTCAATTATTACGGCGCGTGTCATCTTCAACTATTTGAAGGATCATTAAACACCTCATAACCAATACGTACACACAGAAAAATATCTGTGCCAACCCGTAGGGGAGATGGAAATCGCAAAAATAATAGAAAAAAATCATTTTCTCAATTATTACGGCGCGTGTCATCTTGAACTATTCGAGAGATCATTCAACACATCATCACCGACACGTACACACAGAAAAATATCTGTGCCAACCCGTAGGGGCGATGGAAATCGCAAAAATAATAGAAAAAAATCATTTTCTCAATTATTACGGCGCGTGTCATCTTGAACTATTCGAGAGATCATTCAACACATCATCACCGACACGTACACACAGAAAAATATCTGTGCCAACCCGTAGGGGCGATGGAAATCGCAAAAATAATAGAAAAAAATCATTTTCTCAATTATTACGGCGCGTGTCATCTTCAACTATTTGAAGGATCATTAAACACCTCATAACCAATACGTACAAACAGAAAAATATCTGTGCCAACACGTAGGGGAGATGGAAATCGCAAAAATAATAGAAAAAAATCATTTTCTCAATTATTACGGCGCGTGTCATCTTGAACTATTCGAGAGATCATTCAACACATCATCACCGACACGTACACACAGAAAAATATCTGTGCCAACCCGTAGGGGAGATGGAAATCGCAAAAGTAATAGAAAAAAATCATTTTCTCAATTATTACGGCGCGTGTCATCTTCAACTATTTAAAGGATCATTAAACACCTCATAACCATTACGTACACACAGAAAAATATCTGTGCCAACCCGTAGGGGAGATGGAAATCGCAAAAATAATCGAAAAAAAATCATTTCCTCAATTATAACGGCGCGTGTCATCTTGAGCTATTATTATTATTTTTACGATTTCCATCTCCCCTAGGGGTTGGCACAGATATTTTTCTGTGTGTACGTGTCGGTGATGATGTGTTGAATGATCTCTCGAATAGTTCAAGATGACACGCGACGTTACAATTGAGGAAATTATTTTTTTCGATTATTTTTGCGATTTCCATCTCCCCTACGGGTTGGCACAGATATTTTTCTGTGTGTACGTATTTGTTATGAGGTGTTCAATGATCCTTCGAATAGTTGAAGATGACACGCGCCGTCATGCTTGAGAAAATGCATTGTTTCGATTATTTTTGCGATTTCCATCTCCCCTACGAATTGGCACAGATATTCTTCTGTGTGTACGTATTGGTTATGAGGTGTTTAATGATCCTTTAAATAGTTGAAGATGACACGCGCCGTAATAATAGAGAAAATGATTTTTTTCGATTATTATTGCGATTTCCATCTCTCCTACGGGTTATCACAGATATTTTTCTGTGTGTACGTATCGACGATGAGGTGTTGAATCATCTCTCGAATAGTTCAAGATGACACGCGCCGTAATAATTGAGAAAATGATTTTTTTCGATTATTTTTGCGATTTCCATCTCCCCTACGGGTTGGCACAGATATTTTTCTGTGTGTACGTATTGGTTATGAGGTTTTTAATGATCCTTCAAATAGTTGAAGATGACACGCGCCGTAATAATTGAGTAAATGAATTTTTTCGATTATTTTTTCGATTTCCATCTCCCCTACGGGTTGGCACAGATATTTTTCTTCGTGTACGTATCGGTGATGAGGTGTTTAATGATCCTTCAAATAGTTGAGAATGACACGCGCCGTAATAATTGAGTAAATGAATTTTTTCGATTATTTTGCGATTTCCATCTCCCCTACGGGTTGGCACAAATATCTTTCTGTGTGTATGTATTGGTTATGAGGTTTTCAATGATCCTTCAAATAGTTGAAGATGACACGCGCCGTCATAATTGAGAAAATGCATTTTTTCGATTATTTTTGTGATTTCCATCTCCCCTACGGGTTGGCACAGATATTTTTCTGTGTGTACGTATTGTTTATGAGGTGTTTAATGATCCTTCAAATAGTTGAAGATGACACGTGATGTAATAATCGAGGAAATGATTTTTTTCGATTATTTTTGCGATTTCCATCTCCCCTACGGGTTGGCACAGATATTTTTCTGTGTGTACGTCTCGGTGATGAGGTGTTGAATGATCTCTCGAATAGTTGAAGATGACACGCGCCGTCATGCTTGAGAAAATGCATTGTTTCGATTATTTTTGCGATTTCCATCTCCCCTACGAATTGGCACAGATATTCTTCTGTGTGTACGTATTGGTTATGAGGTGTTTAATGATCCTTTAAATAGTTGAAGATGACACGCGCCGTAATAATCGAGGAAATGATTTTTTTCGATTATTTTTGCGATTTCCATCTCCCCTACGAGTTGGCACAGATATTTTTTTGTGTGTACGTAATGGTTATGAGGTGTTTAATAATCCCTCAAATAGTTGAAGATGACACGCGCCGTAATAGTTGAGGAAATGAATTTTTTCGATTATTTTGCAATTTCCATCTCCCCTACGGGTTGGCACAAATATTTTTCTGTGTGTACGTATTGGTTATAGAGTGTTCAATGATCCTTCGAATAGTTCAAGATGACACGCGCCGTCATAATTGAGAAAATGCATTTTTTCGATTATTTTTGCGATTTCCATCTCCCCTACGGGTTGGCACAGATATTTTTCTGTGTGTACGTATTGGTTATGAGGTGTTCAATGATCCTTCAAATAGTTGAAGATGACACGCGCCGTAATAATCGAGGAAATGAATTTTTTCGATTATTTTTGCGATTTCCATCTCCCCTACGGGTTGACACAGATATTTTTCTGTATGTACGTATTGGTTATGAGGTGTTCAATGATCCTTCAAATAGTTGAAGATGACACGCGCCGTAATAATCGAGGAAATGAATTTTTTCGATTATTTTTGCGATTTCCATCTCCCCTACGGGTTGACACAGATATTTTTCTGTATGTACGTATTGGTTATGAGGTGTTTGATGATCCTTCAAATAGTTGAAGATGACACGCGCCGTAAAAATCGAGGAAATGAATTTTTTCGATTATTTTTGCGATTTCCATCTCCCCTACGGGTTGGCACAGATATTTTTCTGTGTGTACGTATTGATTATGAGGTGTTTAATGATCCTTCAATTAGTAAAAGATTACACGCGCCGTATTAATTGAGAAAATGATTTTTTTCGATTATTTTTTCGATTTCCATCTCCCCTACGGGTTGGCACAGATATTTTTCTTCGTGTACGTATCGGTGATGAGGTGTTTAATGATCCTTCAAATAGTTGAGAATGACACGCGCCGTAATAATTGAGAAAATGATTTTTTTTCCATTATTTTTGCGATTTCCATCTCCCCTACGGGTTGGCACAGATATTTTTCTGTGTGTACGTCTCGGTGATGAGGTGTTGAATGATATCTCGAATAGTTCAAATGATTTTTTTCGATTTCCTCCACCCCTACGTCTTGGCACAGATATTTTTCGGTGTGTATGTATTGGTAATGATATGTTCATTGACCTGTCAAATAGTTCAAGATAACACGCGCCATTATAATTGAGAAAATATTTTTTTTTATATTTTTGAGATTTCCATCTCTTCTACGGGTTGGCACAAATATTTTTCTCTGTGTATGTATTGATAAGCATATGCTCAATGACCTGTGAGATAGTTCAAGATGACACACTCCGTAATAATTGAGAAAATGTATTTTCTCAAATATTTTTGTGATTTCCATATCTCCCCTACCGGTTTTTGAGATTTTTATCTGCCCTATGGGTTGGCACAGATATTTTTGTGTGTGTACGTATTGGTAATTAGGTGTTTAATGATCTCCCAAATAGTTCAAGATGACAGGCACTGTATAATAATTGAGAAAATGATTTTTTTGAATATTTTTGATATTTCGATCTCCCCTATGGGTTCGCACAGATATTTTTCTCTGTGTGCTTGTTGGTGAAAAGATGTTTAATGATCTTTGGAATAGTTCAAGATGACAGGCGTCATAATATAATTGAGAAAATAAATTTGTTGTAAAATTTTTGTGATTTCCATTGCCCCTACAGGTTGGCACATATATTTTTCAGTGTTTATACCTATATTGGTAATCATATGTTTAATGACCTGTCAAAGAGTTCAATATGTTTTATGTGCTGTAATAATTAATTGATGTGTAAATGATTATTATATATCATTCGAATTCACTCAATTTTGTTGCCAAATTCTGATATAAAGAGCTGATACACTATGTCTTGTATGTGTCCTGTTAGATTTTTTATAAATCAATACTTCAACAGTCTTAATAAAATATCTAAAGGTATTTGTTAAACTTTGGCAACACCGCATGTGACCCACAGTGTATTCCAAATACAACTTTCTTCACGTCATAAAGTGTGGATGGAAATGTTTGGATAACTTCACTTTAATTATATATTTTATTCATGTTACAGATGAAAATTTCAGTCTCAAACATGAGTACCCCTTACTTCTATCAATGGCCAATAGAGGCAAAGATACAAATGGCTCTCAGTTCTTCATGTGAGTATTCTTTGAATTCTCATAGTTTGATAGGACATCCATGATACAGGAATTTGTCCACATACATTTATGATATTTTATACTTCTCTTTCAGCAGCAGAGTTTTCATCTCAGTAAATTTTTCATGCTTATTCATACTTAACATTGGATAATTTGTCTTATCTCATTAGAATATCAGCAAAGGTTAAGTAGGTTTTAAAGATTTGTTAATTTTGTCACTATTTAGTGGTACCACTTCAACCCATACCAGGCTTCGCTGATCATATCTTGTCAATTTTTGTGTTATAGTACAACACAACCGGCCCCTCATCTGGACAAGTAAGAAAAATAAAATTTGTGATATAGAAGATACATATTTTTTGCCTTCCAGTGTTCATGTGGTTTTTGGCAGAGTTGTCAGTGGAGTTGATGTAGTAAGACAAATTGAAGCCCTACCAGTTGATGCCAATAGCAGACCTTTACAGGATGCTAAGATTCTCAAATGTGGGGAATTAATAAAACAAGCTAAAGGTAATATTATATTATAATGATCAGTAATAATATAGAACCTATAATAAAAAATACACCTTTCACCTTCATTAACCACACTCAATCTGATACCCAAAAAACTAGAAACAGTCAAGAGGATAAATATAGGTTACCCTAGGATAATCATCATCATGTCAAATTGCTTCACGTTGAGGAGAAACCTGCCTGAGTAATAATGGTTTATTTCTTTTCTTGATGACTCATCACTGTAAACCAAATAAGAAAGATTTTCTAGATAATTATTATCAATGATCAAAGAAAGACAGATTTTATTTTTTTGGCATTGATGTATTCTTGGTCTGTGTAGGAAGGTGTATGATACTCAAAAATCTAAAAACAGTCAAGAGGATAAATATAAGTTACCCTAGGATAATCATGTCAAATTGATTCAGGTAAAGGAGAAACCTGCCTGAGTAATGATGGTTTATTTCTATTCTTGATGACTCATCATCACCAAATAAGAAAGATTTTCTAAATAATTATTTATGATCAAAGACTGGCAGATTTTATTTTTTTGGCATTGATGTATTCTTGGTCTGTACAGATAGGTGTTAAAAAAAAATTATTCATCTATGAGTTATACATTACACAGAGAAAGTGAAATGGATTTCATTTAATGAGTGATTGGAAGAACAAATTTATAATATTGATTGATTGATTGTCTTCATTACCCCAAGAAACATAGTTGTTTATAATAGGGATACATAAACAATATAGGTACATAATGTTATACATAAAATTATGAAATAATATGATATAACAAGTAAAAAAAAATGCAAATAATCATGCAATATCAACCTTGTCTTTTATAAGTAGGTATTCAAATAAGAAATGGAATTATCAAAGTCTCTGAAGCAGATATTTTTTCAAGTTAATTTTGAATCTAGTTGCTTCCTGTATATTGATTGATTGTCTTTATTACCCCAAGGATGAAAAGTTGGGATAATATTCAAAACTATAGTGACAAGTGGCTTGTAAAACTTTGATTTCTAGATTTTAGCTCACCTATATTGAGTTTTTATTTTATTAAAGTCATTGAACATTTTATTTTTTGGTTCTCTACATGACTGAAACATATAGAATTGAAACACTGCCTCAATTTCTTGTAATCCACCTATTAAATTGATTGTCTTTATTGCCCCAAGAAACATAGTTGTTTATAATAGGGATACATAAACAATATACATAATGTTATACATACAATTATGAAATTATAATAAGATATAACAAGTAAAAAAAAATGCAAATAATCATGCAATATCAATCTTGTCTTTCATAAGTAGGTATTCAAATAAGAAATGGAATTATCAAAGTCTCTGAAGCAGATATTTTTTTAAGTTAATTTTGAATCTAGTTGCTTCCTGTATATTCCTCAATTGACTTGGTAATGAGTTGTATAGAACGATTCCTGTGTGAAAAATTGATAGTTTGCCGATATTTGACAATGCAAAGGGTCCATTTATGAGGAGAGGGGTGCCACAAGGTTCTGAACTTGGGCCACTCACTTATTCATTAATAAGTATGATTTCAAGTTTGTTACACATACTTATTTTATCCAGTGAAGAAGGATAAAAAGAAGAATGGAGAGGAAGGACAAGAGAATTCTGAGGAGGAGGACAGGAAGGTGAAGAAGAAACATAAAAAGGAGAAGAAGAAGGAAAAAAGCAAGAAGCATTCGTAAGTGCTCATCAACAACTGCTTACCTGTTATCATTTAATTTGTTTTGTTGAAGTAAACATCATGACAAGTCAGAGGATGAGGAAGGGGAAGTTGTTGAACCACACCCTCTAGTTACCATCAGCAATATTAATCCAGAGGATATTCCAGAAGTCCCGAAGAATAAGTTTTTAATGAGGGGTGGTGATGCAAGAGAGGGTGGCAGAGACCAGAAAAACTTCAATAGAGGTAAACCATACTCCCCACACCCCACAGTGGAACATCATCTTCTTATGTTTCAGATTCTGATAGAAATAGGGAGTTTTATGACAGAGGAAGGAGAGAGTGGGGCATGGGATATAACAGAAGAGGAAGACCTATGACATCAAAAAGTGGTAGAATCATCAAGGGTCGCGGGAAATTCGTGAGTTATTGTTATTTACACATTTTCATACAGCTTCAAGGCTTTGTCCTGAGTGCATTAATCCAAGATGGCGCTTCCAAGATGGAGGACGATTTTGTCGTTTCTTTCTCGATTTGCCCGAAAATGTACACTTAGAAGATTTCAAAATCGAGGATAACAAATTTTCAGTGTAAATTCGGGACCATTTTTGTCATTATTCAAATAGAAACTCAATTACCTTTCAATTCCACATATTTTTAGATTTTTCTGGTCGTTTCTAGGGCGTTGAAATCATCAATATTGTGTAAAAACACTGACGTCATGATTTCGTAAGTAGGGGCAGACCATGTTGCCATATGTTGAAATATGAATGGGAACTACAGAAACATGATTCATTTAATAATTCATAAATTCTTAATTATGTTTCAGTTATATCCATAATTAGATATAAAAAAAATCATTGTTTCAAAATTGTCCCTTTTATATTATGTTCTGTCTTATTGCTTATGATGAAGTTTTGTTGATAATAATTATATTAATTCACACTGGAGGATATTTGATATGGTAAACGTGGCAACACAGGACTGTGGGCGTTGTGTTGTCAGTTCTCAGCATTCAGCACAGCATTGCCAAGTCTATAGCCAGTATCCCTACTTCCCTACTAATATTATAAATGTGAATGTGAGTTTGTTTGTCGGGGTTTCACGCAAAAACCAGTCCACCGATTATCATTAAATTTTGTTTACATATTCTTAGATGTATTAGAAGGAACATATTTCACTTTTTATTGAAAAAAAGAAATTTTTACCAGTAAACATTTTTTTTTGCGGACATTATTGTTTACAAAATATCCAACAATCAGACATGAAACTCTATATGTCTTCTGAGACTGGTAAGTCTCGGATTAGTTATATAATGAGATGAAAATAACAAAATAAATATCTAACCAAACATCAGGTGGGCACTACAAAGGCAGAACATTTATAACTGCATGGGAGATACCCTTCAGATTATTTGCTATTGAGGGACTTGACCATGAATGACATTAATGACATTGACGTTATAGTCTTCCGCTCAATTCAATACTACCTGAATCGGTCCATCTACAGACAGGTCGCAACAAATAACTTATTTTGGTCGTGTTGTTGTGAATTACATCTTAACTTTTGTTGTAGTAAATTATTTCAATAAAACATATTTTCAGTTTCTGAAACCATGTATGTAGTAATTTTCAAATACTGAATCCCATTGGTTCTGTTCCATTGGAATGTACAGGGTGAACAACTAAGAATGACTGTCATCAATCATTCATCCAGCTTTGATCCTTAATATATTCCGTTAGCGGTTTTCGTTGGTCTGTTGAGATTTTGTTCCCGTTACGCCACCTAGCGGAAACCTAAAAATATTTTCCAGCTGTTTTAGAGTCACTTTTCTTGATATATATTTTTTTCAAAGTTGTATCATTATTTGTTGCTGAGATATGACCGACAGCCGTTCTTAGTTGTTCACCCTGTATGATGATCTTTGATGTTTATTCAAGGGCTTTAACGTGAGCGAAGCCGCCGGTAGATGCTAGTAAGAAATATTTTGACGAGTTGTTGAGTTTCATTTAATGATACGGCTAACATATTTTTAATAATTTTCCGTAAGGGTGTATACTGTGTTGATAACTTGATTATAATTGGTGATCTGACAACCTTGCTTTATGAGTGGAAATGGACAATTATCTGACAAATAACAGTATAAGAACTGACGTCACCATATTCACGACGTATCCGAGAACATGGCGGCCATGACAGCTCCTTTGAAACGTGCTTTGAAATTCAACAATTCCAAACAACTCATAGACACATTATTTACATCAAAAACGTGTAAGAAGTGCTTCAAAAATTAATTCAGGTCCGTACCGACACAGTGGAGTAATTGAATGTCAATTATTCACTATCAGTCCACTAGCCCATTCAAGATGGCGCTCTAAAAATGGTGATCCATTCGAAAGTGGTCACCTTCCGGATTTGAGAGGTTAAGGATCGCGAATTTCGTCGAAAAGTTAAATTCAAGGGTGAACAATTTTATAATTTTTCGTCTGATTCGCCTGAAAATTTACACCTAGGACCAATGGTTTTGAAGATCGAGATTTACAACTTTTGAGAATTGTGTAAAAAAAGTAAAAGTTTGGTTCTTCTCTGTTACTTTTTGAACGAAATTTGGTGCCCAAACCATACAAATTCTGTTTTCGTGAAACATCATATATATAGGATGATTTATATAAGAATTTGAACAGTTATTCTGTGTGTTTTCACACTGAATCAAGTTAACATGATGTTGAAATGAAGGAAAAAATACAAAAATAAAAAATTGTTACCTTTCACTTTCTGTAGCGATTTGCTACGACAATTCCCGATAAACTCGCGAAATATTGAAATTAGTCGAAATATCAGATATCGCAACTCGATCACCCTGTGTATTCCAAATAGATTTCTAATAGCGAATTCCATTCGTAAACCTGGTGGTGCACTGGTTTTGCACCCGCACTACGTTAGTTCTCTCCAAAATGTGAACTGGTGCATTCTCAATGGAATACGAGATAATATAATAAAATGTTATTGTTGGAGGTTAAATCGGATAAATTGGTTTGTCATTGTTTATAACTTGTCCGTATCCTGAAATTATTTCTCGACTTCAATTAAAAACGGAGTAGATGTTTGATGGAAATGATTCTGAGCAGTTATTTCTCAATAAGAACCTCTTCATCATTGAATTTTAGTGCAAGACACTCAACAAAATTATGGACTCTGGGAAGTAGTCTCTTTTATTTCTTGTAACCTCCAAATTTTCATCACTACTTGATGATGATGAGATGATTCGATTGCCACTTAATTTTGGTTTTCAAACTATGCATATTCAATGTTCCCGCCATTTTCAAAACTGCACCTACTTCGCACGACCTATTGTTGCACTGAGCTCTAAACTATGTGAACCAGTTTTCCAATGGAATCCAAAACCCGACACCAGTTTTACCAATAGAATACAAAATATGCACTTAGTGCCACCCAGTTTTACCAATGCAATTCGCTATAACACCGTTCAGAAGCCGGTCGAGAAGCGCCACGCCCATCCATTGGAGGAAGGAGGAATCGAGAGTGATCCAGCTGTCTTAATTCGAAAAACTGGAAGCGGAGTGCAAGCGCCAAGAAGAGAAGAAATGATAATGTAATTTGAAAGAATTACTATAGATAATAAACACATTCTCTCTCTCTCTCTCTCTCTCTCTCTCTCCCTCTCTCTGACTTTGTTGTTACCCGGTATTTCATCAAGTACCGCGTGTTCCTCAGAGATTCCGAACACCGTCCAGAAGCCGATCGAGAAGCGCCACGCCCATCCATTGGAGGAAGGAGGAGTCGAGAGTGATCAAGCTGTCGGAGTTCGAGAAGCTGGAGGCGGAGCGCAAGCGCCAGGAGGAGAAGAAGGCCGGCAAGGCCAAGGAGAAGGAGAAGATGGCGAGGAACAGGAGCGTGTCGGAGGAGAGGTCGCACACGCCTCTGAGCAGACACCCGAACGACAGGGGCGTCGATTACAACGCTCTGGATTACGAGGATCACAGCGAGGATGACAACGGGTGGGTCTCTACTCTCTAGACTGAATAATGGGCTTGTATCACAAACAATTTTGCCAAATGTGATCACCTCTTCGAGAGATAACACGGTTCGGAAACTTTTCCGTTAAAAGGTCAATGGTTTCATTGCTTGTGTGGCAGGTAACGCCGTCTTGTCGAAAGTAAACGTTGTCCAGATCAATGCCATCCAATTCCGGCCATAAAAAAATCACTAATCATCTCTCGATAGTGCAATCCATTCACCATAACTGTTGCTCTAGCCTCATTTTCGAAAAAGTAAGGTCCAATGACTCCGCCGGACCATAAACTGCACAAAACAGCCATATGTTGAGGATAGAGAGGCTTTTCAACAATAGATTAGATTAGATTAGATTTAGAATGGGGCCTTCGGGCTATCTGCCTCCACACTGCGACCTTTTCAGATCTATTGTGTCTGCCCTCAAAATCGATTAGAGTTCTTCGGCTAGCCCCGCCTTCTCTATGAGACTCCATAGGCTAGCTTTCAGATCTCCTGTGTATCTCTGGGCTCCTGGTTTTTCCTCACCCAGCGTAAGGAACCTTAGTCTTGACAAGCCCTCACAGTGGCAAAGTATGTGTACTGCTGTTTCTTCCTCTTCTTGACAGAACCTGCACAGCAGTTCTTCAGTCAGACCTATCGTACTCATGTGTTTGTTGAGCCTACAACGCCCTGTGAGAAGTCCCACTAGTATTCTAGTTGAACTTCGTTTCTGGCTCAGTAGATATTCTGTGAATGTTGGCGATGGTTTTTTAATAAACTCTTTTGCCTGTCTCATTCCTGGCGAGTTGTTCCACCATTCTTGAGATTTAGTATGCATCCATAATTTGATACTAGTCTTTTGTATAGCTTTCGCAATACCACAGAAGGGTTCTGGGCCATTAAGAGGTTTGTTTACTCCTGCTCGGGCAAGTGAGTCTGCCTCTTCATTGCCCTCGTACCCTGTATGTGCTGGTACCCATGCTAGAGTCAGTCTGTTCTGACTGCCCAGTGCATTTAGGTTTTCTAAGCAGTCCCATACTAGTTTTGAGTTAACTTGCATAGATTTGACTGCTTTTATGGCCGCTTGGCTATCTGAATAGATTGCAATGGTTTTGCCTTTAAACTCTTGCCTTATCAATTCTTTCACGCAATGATGTATTGCAATAATTTCTGCCTGAAACACCGTCGCGTATTTACCTAAGCTCAGTGAGATTCTTGTCTTTGGCTTGGCCCCATAAATACCAGCTCCTGATCCAAACTCAGTTTTGGAGCCGTCCGTGTAGACAGCAATGTCTGCATTGATAGGAGGTCCTTCCTTCCATGCCTCTCTGTCCGTTATTCTTATTTTAAAAGTTTTTTCAAAGCTATATTTTGGAATTATGCCATCCGTTGGCATCCCCATGATGGGGTCGCTTTCCAACTCTTCATATAGCTTCCTATAGTCTTTACCGTGCGCGTTGCTTATGGGTGCTTGACCCCTTGACAATCTACTCACGACTGCTCTGGCTTCGCCTTGAATATATATTTGTAGTGGTGGTAGGTTCAAGAGGACCTCTAAAGCGGCTGTTGGAGTGGTTTTCATTGCACCAGTGGCACTCAGGCACGCTTGCCTTTGAATAGCACTGAGCCTTCGAATCACTCCAACAATAACTTTTGGGTTTTCCGAGCCCCAGATGCGAAAATTTTGCTTGTTGACAAAGCCACCGAGGTGGAAATGGGCCTCATCACTGAAGAAGATTTTACGATGGAATTCCGGATCATTTTCATGCATTTCATGGACCCAATCAGCAAAGACACGACGTTGTTGATGATAGGCCGGCTTGAGTCCTTGTGTTAACTGAACTTTATAAGCCGCAAGACCCAAATCTTTATGCAAAATACGGTACAATAACTCATATAATCAGCTAGACATCATTCATCATTCTATCTCAGCAATTAAATCTTTTTACTTTAGTTGAGATTATGTAATTCTGAAACTATACAAATCTCTATATTAGTAGTAAATTATATTCTTGTTATGTTGTTGGGTATGACCTGTAGAACAGAGTAACAATAAATAAACAAAAAAATAAATGAATAAATAAATGAAATTGATCGTTCTTTTTAACTGTTCAACTAGTTACTCTGAGGGGGCCAAGAGGAGGATACCCAGCTTGGTGCAGTACCCGCTACCAGGGGCGTACAACAAGTTCAAGACCGTGGAGGAGGTTAAGAAGGAGATGAAAATCGTGGAACAGGAGCAGAAGGAAGTGGAGGCTCTCAATAAGAGATCGGATTTTTTGGCCATGGCTTTAGGTATTGCTATAAAGTTTATCAATATATTGGTAAATAGATAAGAACAACGATTTTTAGTACGACGAGAAAAGGCAAAGAGATTGTTTTTCAATTCTTTATTCCTTTTAGATTTCCCATATAAAAACTCCTGACGTCCCAAGTACTATAACGCGCCGACCGTCTATTGGTAGTCGGGAAAAATCTATAATTTTTTAGATGAACAGCGTTGCCGTCTCAACTTTTTCTTTGGCTTGTTCAAATATTTTGACTTAATTGCTCTCAAGATATAACTGATTTTAACAATGTCATGAATGACATGAGCAAACGATGAGCCGTTTTCAATGAAAAATTTTAATTCATTAATTTGAAGTACTAACCCTAACTAGTTCACTGTCGCATAAGATTCGACTTTCCTATCCTTTTTTATTTCTGATAGACAAGTGCAAGAATATTTATGATTGTCATTTCAATCAAAAAATGGAATGAATTTTCTGGACTGAATACTTACTGCAGATAACCAGAGAACAAAGCACACAACTGAAGAATCAGATAATATAAGGATTATCTTTGAATATTCGCATATTGACTAGATGAAACAAGGATTTGACGATGAAGGTGACAGACGATATGGACTTTAGGAAGTTAGGTTGACAATGTAGTACTTTTTTAATTCTTTTTTGTATTTTTACACGTTTGCCCGTGTAACAGAATAATTTGGTATTACATTCAAACTTGGCCATGATTGGGGATACTGGTACTAAAGAATCTTGCAAGTATACAAGTATTTAATAAGTGATCATTGGGGACCAGGTCAAACTATTGTCGCGGTCGCAACAAATTCGAGATTTCAGACGAAAATACGTGAATAACATGCAACAAAAAAACATCACACAATAAGTTCAAATTTACCAGATATCAACTAAAATGGAGATTATTTTGAATTTTCTTCTCAATTTTAAGCATTTTTGGATTGGTAAGCCCCTGAAGAGATGACTTGATTCTCTTCAGATGTACAATCTACGGCCTTTGAACTCACAGTATTGTTTTTTATGGTGTTGCTATTTTGAATTACTAGCATTTTTTTATTTTTCATTTTGAAAAGGAATGTGTACCTTGAAGTCTGAATTTGAATCCAGGAAAAAAACGTACTTTTTCGGTTTTGGGTCTCAGAAGAATATGTTTGTTTTTGTCCCAGGATAGATATTGGTCGAACAGGTAAAATATTCAAGCACTGTATTCACGAATATCAAATGAGTTTGTAAAAAATGAAGCGAATTCAATATGCTTCAACCATATGTGTACATTATAGAAGGTGACAATCTTCAAATTTCTTCACATGTAGAAAACAAAAAACAATTGATTAATCAAATCAAAACGATTTCAACAATTCGCAATATTGATTGTCTTTCAAAGGACCCCGCACGAAAACAAGGGAAATTGGCTCTCGGTCGGATTGGCTGAAATTATACTATGTTGTTGTGAGATGGCTCATTAGAAAATTATGTGAGTTTTGAAAAGTTTTGTATGTTTAGTTTCTGAGATATAAGCCGACAAAGTTCGTGAAAACGTCGTATCGGGGTAGGATTGACAAAGAAAAAAACTGTTTTTTTAGTATAAATAAGACAAAATAAGCTAGAAAATGTATTGATCGGAATCAAATACATGTCTAGTTATGCTCGCACAAATTATAGTGAATCAGGGTGTATACGAGGCACGGTCAAAAAATTCATTTTTCGGAAAAAAAATTCGAGCACTATTGCAAAACCAATAAGTTATATTTTGGTGAGACATTATAGTTTCAGTCTATTGTAGGCTTCGAAAACGTATTTTCATTCTTGATAACTATCTCTGTTCGAAATATGAATTCTTTGAATGTTGTATTATACCCCTTTTCTTGCTTGCTTTTGATCACAAAAAAAGGGATTGATTTACTATTGATTTATTGAAAGCTGAGGTAACTCACTAGCGAATTCAGTTGTTCAATATTGCTTTTCATTTAGATACAGGGTGTGTTAGATTTTGTTGAAGATTATTTAAAATGTTCTGTTGAATCCATAGTAATATCCGAGGTAATAACCCTATAATACCTGGTGATATAATAAATACTGTAAAAATGATATCTCAGAAACGAAACATAAAAAATTGAAAAACTTTTCGCATATGATGGTCAACATATTCAAAATAGTGTCAGTAAAATGAGATCCAAATTAACGGAACTGTTTTCGAGATATTCAATTGAAACATGTTAAATAATCTCCAACAAAATCTAACACACCCTGTATCTAAATGAAAGGCAATTGTGAACAACTGAATTCGCTAGTGAGTCACATCAGCTTTCATTTAAGCAACAGTATCAATCAATCCCTTTCTTTGTGATCAAAAACAAGCTGTCAATTGTTTTCAAAAAGGGGTGTAACACAAAATTCTAAAAATTCATATCTCGAACTGAGATAGTTATCAAGAATCAAAATACGTTTCCGAAGCCTACAATAGACTGAAACTATGATGTTCCACCAAAATATAACTTATTGGTTTTGCAATAGTGCTCGAATTTTTTTTCCGAAAACTGAATTTTTTGACCGTGCCTCCTATGCACCCTGATTTACTATAATTTATGTGATCATAACTAGACATGTATTTGAGTTCCGATCAATACATTTTCTAGCTTATTTTGTCCTATTTATACTGAAAAAACAGTTTTTTTCTTTGTCAATCCTATCCTGATACGACGTTTTTACGAACTTTGTCGGCTTATATCTCAGAAACTAAACATACAAAACTTTTTAAACTCACAAATTTTTCTAATGAGCCATCCCACAACATAGTAAAATTTCAGCCAATTCGACCGAGAGCCAATTTCCCGTGTTTTCGTGCGGGGTCCTTTGTTTCTAAGAAATTCCGAAACTGGCAATTTCTCTTTCTGAATTACTCAAAAAGAGATATCGAAATTCCGACATTCTTTGCAACCCTATCCCAATATTCCAGCAATTTATGTCTTCAACATAAATTTTAGGAGTCCAAATAAAAACCGGCGACGATCCACCGACAGGCGAAATCAGCGGATTCAACAACCACAACCAACCGAATCGCAACAACAACAAATTCCCTCCCATCCCCAAATTCCCCCACAACCCTAAATTCCCCCCCAACCCCAACGCCAATAACGACCGATTCAACAAGGTCCACATGCGTCTGCTAAAGCTGGCCGGTCACGAGAACGTCCAGATGCCGTTCCAGCTGGCCAGCAAAATCGAGGAGAAACACGGTCGCAAAAAATTCGAGACATTGACAAAAAAAACATGGCATGATCGTCAAATTGGAGATTATTTTGAAATAACAATTTTTTTTTCAATTTTTAGCATTTTTGGATTGGTGAGCTAAAGAGACGACTTGATTCCCTTCAGATGTACAATCTTCGGTCTTCGAACTCACAGTATTGTTTTCAAATGGTGTTGATATTTTGAATTACTAGCATATTTTTTTTAAAGATTGGGTACCCTAGAGTCTGAATTCGAATTCATATCAACCAACGTATGTCAATGCTCTTTCGAAATTTCGAATCAGATACCAGGAAAAAAACGATAAAATTTCATTTATTGTTTTGATCGTTGTAAAGACTTTGTAGCTTTGTAGTTTTTCGTTTTTGAGTCTCAGAAGAATATGTTTGTTTTTGTCCCAGGATAGATATTGGTCAGACAGGTAAAATATTCAAGCACTGTATTCACGAATATCAAATAAGTTTTTTATAAAGAAACGAATTCAATATGCGTCAACCATATAATGTACATTATAGAAGGTGACAATCTTCAAATTTCACATGTAGAAAACGAAAAAACCATTGATTAATCAAATCAAAACAATTTCAACAATTCGCAATAGTGATTGTCTTTCAAATTTGTTTCTAAGAAATTCCGAAACTGGCAATTTCTCTTTCTGAATTGCTCAAAAAACTCATTTTTTGCAACCCTATCCCAATATTCCGACAATATTTACCTTTTATATTAATTCTAGGAGTCCAAATAAAAACTGGCGACGATCCACCGACAGGCGAAATCAGCGGATTCAACAACCACAACCAACCGAATCGCAACAACAACAAATTCCCTCCCATCCCCAAATTCCCCCACAATCCCAAATTCCCCCCCAACCCTAACGCCAATAACGACCGATTCAACAAGGTCCACATGCGTCTGCTAAAGCTGGCCGGTCACGAGAACGTCCAGATGCCCTTTCAGCTGGCCAGCAAAATCGAGGAGAAACGCGGTCGCAAAAAATTCGAGACATTGACAAAAAAAACATCGCACGATCGTCAAATTGGAGATTATTTTGAAATAACAATTTTTTTTCAATTTTTAGCATTTTTGGATTGGTGAGCTAAATATACGACTTGATTCCCTTCACATGTACAATCTTCGGTCTTCGAACTCACAGTATTGTTTTCAAATGGTGTTGATATTTTGAATTACTAGCATATTTTTTTTAAAGATTGGGTACCCTAGAGTCTGAATTCGAATTCATATCAACCAACGTATGTCAATGCTCTTTCGAAATTTCGAATCAGATACCAGGAGAAAAACGATAAAATTCCATTTATTGTTTTGATCGTTGTGAAAACTTTGTAGCTTTGTAGTTTTTCGTTTTTGAGTCTCAGAAGAATATGTTTGTTTTTGTCCCAGGATAGATATTGGTCAGACAGATGAAATATTCGAGCACTGTATTCACGAATATCAAATAAGTTTCTTATAAAGAAAATCTCTGGAACTTATTTTCAAGTTTCCAGGACAGCCGCTAGAGGGCATAATAGCATTGGCCAACTTGAGAAACGGGTTTTTATGAAAATTTGATATATCAAGACATATCAGGAACACTTTTTCCACGTTCTCGAGTTGAATCATTTCGATCGAAAAAAAATTGCGCTAGCTCTTTAAATAAAAGAGGGAGGGAAGGATGAATAATACTCTGGAAAAACTCTTATTACTACAGTTTGGTGTAACGGAATTGAGCGATCTTGGTCTCATTATGAAGGATTTTCTCGGATCTTCCCGATAAACCACGAATCGAGTCGTTTTAAATCCCGTGGTTGCCGCTAGATGGCATCGTTGGTGACAACCTTTAAATTTCACATGTAGAAAACGAAAAAAAACATTGATTAATCAAATCGAAACAATGTCAACAATTCGCAATATTGATGGTCTTTCAAATTTGATTCTAAGAAATTCCGAAACTGTTAATTTCTCTTTCTGAATTACTCAAAAAACGGAATATCGAAACTCCGACTTCAATTTTTGACTACAAACTCTCATTTTTTGCAACCCTATCCCAATATTCCGGCAATTTCTACCTTTTATATTAATTCTAGGAGTCCAAATAAAAACCGGCGACGATCCACCGACAGGCGAAATCAGCGGATTCAACAACCACAACCAACCGAATCGCAACAACAACAAATTCCCTCCCATCCCCAAATTCCCCCACAATCCCAAATTCCCCCCCAACCCCAACGCCAATAACGACCGATTCAACAAGGTCCACATGCGTCTCCTAAAGCTGGCCGGTCACGAGAACGTCCAGATGCCCTTTCAGCTGGCCAGCAAAATCGAGGAGAAACGCGGTCGCAACAAATTCGAGATAGAGAAACCCGCTCAGAACGAAGAGAGGGTGCATAGGAATGGTAGGTTTGAGGAGGTGAGAAGGAAGGGCGACAGAATCAGGAACGAGGGTCATCATCGAGAGGCGGCGAAGGAAGCGGAGAGACCTGACAGAGAGAAGGATAGGGGAAGGTGAGCAGCTTTGTTTTTTCTTATGGGCGCCATATTGGATATTTACAGTTTTGAAGTCTTTTTTTCTGATTACAATGATGTATCACACGATATGATCGAATTTTTCCTGTTGATCAAAATTGGAAAAAAACATTTTTGCAAAATCAAATGAAAATAATAAGGGTTCAAAGGTGTTTATAGCATGTAATCACAACACTAAACGTTTTTTTGTGCACAAAGATTCGTCTTTACAACGTAAATTTCATACGCGAAAAAATATTTACATGTCGGAATAAGGTAACACAAGACAGTAAAATCGTTGATTGGATAGAAGTAGTGAAAAAAAAAATACAGACCACGAATCGCTACAGCTATACAAGGTTAGAGACCTAGCCGAAAAAATACTTTGTCAATACATGTAATTTCTCCATGTGTCTCTTATTCACACTCTGTACCCTGTACTGCGGCATATGGTAGTGAGTACATTACTAGCCTACAAAACACAGCCGAAGAACTCTGAAAGAGAGCTGATGGGCGGTGCCTGAAAAGGATGTTAGCCAGATCTCTTTAGTGAACCACATCAGTAATTGAAAAACACCTTGGGGTTTGCAAAAAGGTCCCATTAGGGACTAGTTGCTGACGTGCAAAACGTCCCCCACCTGTACCAGTACCAGTACCCTGTACTGTATTTTATTTAAATAATAATGTGTAATTCTATACACTAAAACTGAAGCAAGATCAAAGTGATTTTAAGTGAGTGGAACAAAAACGAACAAGATAACCAAACATCTAAGCATAAACGAACAAGTCTCTAGTACTTTGAACAAAAACAAACATGTTTTCTTTGAAAGGTAAAGTAGTCTAAAATTGTAACGTTTCTGAGCAAGATTACAAAATACCAATATCATAAATTATATATCAAATAATACTTTCAATATCTTCAATAGGCTGTAAAGGCGGATTTATGCACGCCGCTTTTTCATTAATCTGTAGTTCCACAATCATTAACGATTTCACTAATGAGTTGAATTTTTTAATCATTTTTGCACCCAATATAATTTTTATCTTTCATTAATTATTCGCTAAAAGATGACCGCCTTTTATCTCTTAACGACAAATACAAGTGAAAGTGTGACTTGCGCAGGCGCGATTCTGTCAGTAGTCAGACATACAATGTATTCTTCTTATTTTTTCAAAGTGTGGTTGAAAAATTCACAAAAATTTAGTTGCCTGTTCAAATTAGACTTCAATATAAACAAATTAGCATTATTCTAATAATGTGAGCAGTGGAGGTTAGTACACCAATATTTTCATCCGGCTAAGTACGCTGAGGACTATGTTTGGATCATGAAGAAGAGTTTAAAGTTAAAAACAGAAAGTGCATAAAGGCATCCAAGTCCTTGAATAAATAGTAGATTGTTTTATTAGGATCAAAAGTGACACTTTGTTTGACAAGCGAATTTTGCATTTGCGAGGCGGAGCGTTTAGCGAAGCCGAGCGAAAGCAAAATTTGCAAGTCGAACAAAGTCACTTTTGATCCGAATGAAACATGCTATTTTTTCTGCAACCGAAACAATCAACTCAAAAATATGTGAAGTTACCACCAATGCCGTGCCATATGTATGCAATGCAACAAATATTGACAAATAATCCGTGTAGTGAGAACATTCTACCTACATCAACAGCAGGTTCATTCAATTTTCAAGGATGTTCAAATTGTAGTTTCAATATGAGTACAATCATAGAGTGACATATTTGTGTATGGACCAGGTGCTCTAATAGCAAATACCGCGCCAGTGCCAGCTATATAGGAACAAGATGTGGAAAATGTTAGGTTAATGAGCATATCAACAATGATAATGGCGAATATTTACTCCTCTCTATAATACAATGTTTTTCGCAAGTTAAATAAGTGTGTGTGAAAATTATAAAGCTCTTTTATCTCTACGCCGGTATAGAGGCCGGATGGTGACGGATTCACCGGATAAAGGGGCCATACTTGAAATCAAACGTGCTCAGCATGAGCACATACGATAGAATCTTTGGACTTTGATGAACTCGGCTGCCGGTCATGGTGACGGACTACGGTGTCTTTAGTGCTCGAGTCGAGTGAAAATATTATTACATAACCATATATATATATATTCTTGAAAAAATTAACTACCTGATCAGGAGAAATTGTTACCGAAAAGTGACAGAAATCCAATAAACCCAAAAGAAGAAGAAGAATAATCAAATGAAGCTAAACAATATCGTTGTTTGAGACAAAAAAACTATTGCTTGCCGTGATTATTCAAAAACAAGTTATCCATCCCGAGAATAATGAATGAAATACAGATCAAGCAAGTATTTGAATCTTGAAGGCTTCCCTGATCAAACAAAAATACTTAGCTGAGATGTTCATAATTCCAATACTAAACTATGATGAGGTGTATTTATATCTCCAGCATGGGTATGAAATTCCAAATCTGCTGAAATCGGAAACAAATCAGGTATGCGTCTCAACCCAAATAACCAACCGTCACAATGTTGTTCATTCTTGATGACGTCCAGTACTTCCTTTTTAGTTCCTAGGAACTAAATATGTTGCCTAGCAACCTACCTATTTTTGTGTCAGTAATAGAAACGTCAATTTAGGAGCTAATTTTGGTATCAAAATGGACGACTTTTGTGTCGGTTGCAGAAAAAATGGATTTAATGACGGTTAATGAAAGCAACAGGTTAATGAAAAAGTGGTGTGCATAAATCCACTACTGTACTGTACTTAACTACTGTATAATACTTCATAAACGTTTTTTGAGAATACTGGCAATCATGATCTGGTTGACATCCTAGGTTTTGCATGCGCGCTTCTCAACTGAGAACCGAAAAATGTATGATGTTTCACAAATAAGTGATTCAGTGGAAGGTATCATATCAGGGAAATATTGTATGCCTTAATATTGAGGAAAAATACAACGCGGATGATTTAAGCCATCAACACAAAATGGATATCATCATCTGAAATGAGAATATATGTAGAAGCAGAAATATAAGACTCAATTTGGTTCTTGGTCATGGATATTCTGCTCTCACATAAAATATTTTTTTATATATGTCGTGCGTCGTTGGTCCGTTTGAAGTTCATACATTCAGAAAATTATCTCTGGCTAGGTACAGATATAAAAAAATTTGAAATATAAACTGACCTGAAATTATCCATATTTACTACCGAATTATAGTCTGATCTAGACCGCCAATTCTATAAGGAAAAAAGGTGAGCCACTCAAGAGATCGAACTGGTGAAACTGATTCATGCTCATTTTGGATCTGTTATGTTACAATCATGAATCCGAGGAACATAGGCTTATCGAAGGAAAAAGGTTGGGAGGGGTCTACTATAGAAGGTTGATAAACCATACATGAAGTAGTGTGAAACCAGTGAAACGAATGAAATATACCGTATATTCAAACTTAATTTTTAAAAACGGCAAATACTGTCTGTAGGTTAATCGAGGAGGTGGTACATTCATTATTCCAAATTTTTTGTGATTTTCTCTCTTTAAACGCAGTGACATTTTGGGGCAAATCATCTGATTTGTCCTTACTACACGTATATTGAAATAATATTCATATTTTTATTTTTTAGAAACGAGAGAAAATCCCAAAAAATTTGGAATAATGAAAAACGGCAAATTTGTATGTTGCTTCAATGTCCTGGATTTTTTTTATCGCTTGGAGCGCACAAAAGGAAATTCCTATTATGTTCAAAGAACATCGTGCGTTCCTAGGGAGGATAGGGATAGAAGGTAGGTATTGGATTTTTTTTGAACTTCTGAAGATTATATGTTGGGAATACTTCCTCAGGCAATGAATTCCAGAGCCTAGCCGTTCTATGAATGAAGGAGTTTTGATAAAGTGCTGTTTGACATCTTTCGAGGTTGACAACGAAAGGGTGTGCTGACTGGGCTTGTCTAGTTCGTCTGACTGGTCTTGCTAGTGAAGGGATGATAGCAGAGATTTCCGAAGAACATTTCCCGTGGAAGTATCGATAGAAAAGTGAAAGGTCGCCGACCTTTCTACGGTGTTCCAATGGTGTCAGAAAGTTGTCAGCTGGCGTAAAATGGTCTGAACATAATTATCCTTCCTGAATGACTAGGGTCCAATAGTCTCTTAAAAGCCTCAAAACATTCATTTCTCTTATTGTTAGGAATTCTAGAATCATTATTGAACGAGTAAACTTTTAATCCAAAATCGTCTAAAATAGATGAGCAGGTATATGGCACATCACGCCTGAACTCAAATTCTTCACATCTGAATGAATATACAAAAAATGCATGATTCCATTTGATGTAAATACTTGCTCAACTGATGATAGCAAATCAAAATAATAAATTATTCATAATCCAAGAGATAGAGAAAAATAATCATTTGTGGTTTCATCAAATTACTGTAGATCGCAGGTACATACAGATTCGCTTAACATCAACTTGAGAATTTGGGTATCACTCGGGGTATCAGGTACTAAGTTGAAATGATCGGATTAGTGGTTATCACTGCACATGCAAGCAAGGTTCTAGTACTCCGGGATGTGCGCACGTAGCCAGTGTGCTGTGGTTCCTTGGGTATGCTTGATTATGAAGTTAACATCAGATATTCCAGTTATCAACTATTTTACAAAATACATAACGCTTTAAAGAGCTTCCTTGCATATTATATACATACAATATATACACTGGCTTAATATACACTCACCGGCAAAAAAACCGGCCACCAAATAATTTAGCCAAATTGTTTGCTCTGTAACTTTACCAATTCTGATCCGATTTTGGTGAAATTCCGACCGAATCGTAGATTCATGTTTTCAAATGTTAGCCTGAATATTAGTTCCTAAGAAAATCTGATGACACAATCATTATACAGGGAAAAACGAAAGTTACTTTTTCACCCTTAACTTCTAAACGCCCTGTGGCAAAGGTGAGTGGTTTAACTTAGCTTCATTATGTTTTAGATTGAAGAGTGATCTCTTCTCTACATGATGGTTTTTTATTCACGTCGATAACCACTTTTTAAAGGAAGATACATGTGTTTCAAGAAAGTATGGATTTTTAAAATTTTCATTCACAATAACCATTCTCCAACCTTCTGCTTCAGCATGATTTAAATCGAAGTGAGATCCTCTTTTGTTCCTTCTTCATACAACGGTTCTTGAATAACGTCAATATCTCCTTTTTGAGAGAAGATACATGTGTTTCAAGAAAGTATATATTTTTTGATTTTTCATAACAATAATTCAGAACCTACCTACCTATCTTGGGGGTGACCTCTAGAGGTTCATTTGCCTTCGCCCAGCCTTGTCAGATACTCTTCAAGAGCTATGATTCGCTCTTCAAGGAGGATTTTGTGCAATTCTTCAAGGCTACTGGAGTAATTTGATCCATTCGATGCCACTGCGGTTGAATGCTGTAATTCAATATCGAGGACTCGTTATTGACTCGTTATTGACTACAGGTCTGCTTCTTGTTGGTTTTTTATAATTGATTCTCCGGTAAGTGCGAAGAAAGTAAGGTAGAAATATGTGATAAAAATCCTTGAAGTTCTGATTATTGGTAAAAAAAAGTTGAAAAACACCATACTTCCTTAAAACACCCGTATTTTCTTTCAAAAATAAGATATTGACGTGAATCAAAAACTTTTGTGTTAAGAAGGGATCACACTTCAATCCGAAGCATAATGAAGCCATGTTCAATCACGCAATTTTGCCACAGGGCGTTGAGACGGATAGGGTGAAAGAGTAACTTTGGTTTTTCCCTGTATAATGATCAAGTCATCAGCTTTTCAGGAAAACTAATATTTAGGCTAACATTTCGGAACATGAATATACGATTTGATCTAAATTTCACAAAAATCCGACAAGGATTAAAAAAGTTTTAGTGTGAACAATTTGGGCAAATTTTTTGGTGGCCGGTTTATTTTGCCGGTGAGTGTATTATAGCATTCCATTATTCTTCCGGATTCCTCTCGAAAAAAAAAATGGATTTTTTGCGTAAGGATATAACGGCAAAGTAGACAGAGAGTGATGACTTGTGTTCGTAAATCGTCTTGTTGTATTTCGTAAAAAAGTTTCAGAGAATAACATCAGAGGACATATTGGTATCTTCTGATATTCGGATCACTCTGTATTCATGATAATTTTTTCAGTTTTTTCGGACAACGTTCATTCTGATCAATTGTCATTGGTGAAGTCAATAAATCAGCCAAGACTCGTAGGCGAATGCATTCTCATTCTCTGAAAATCACCCTGTAAAAAGGCTATTGCACCTTTTCTGTGCCACATATAATCAATATTTATTTTGGGTTGAATCCATATCACGAGATTTTCATCCGCAGTCTCAAAAATACACAAAATTCATGATGTTTCACCCCGTAGCGCCGAATCTGGTCATACGATCGAGTTGGGCCAATGGAGTCTACTAAGAAAGACTACAGCTACAACATATCAAAAATCCAGCCACTTTCACCGAAAGACATTCTCCCATATAATGTGTGCGTGGTTCTTTGTGTTGATTTAGTAATGGATTCATTCTTTTTGAAAATGATTGGACTTGAATTGACAATGTTATTGATGTGTAAATTTCATCAATATTTGTATATTTTGGGTATATCGATTATTCTGACGTTGAATGTAAGCTTTTGTCTATGGATTTAAATGTCTTCACCATTATTTTCTCGTGTTCAGAGAGAGAAGAAGAACGCCAAGACGCTCCAGGTCTAGAGAAAGAGGAGGCCACAGAAATTCACCGCCTCAACCGGGAAGATTGAGGAGCGATGACAGATCAAGAAGAAGGTCCAAATCAAAGTCGAAGACAAGAGACGTTCCCAAGACCAGAGACAATGAAAAGGTGAAAGAAAAAGACCCCCTGTTGAAGTTGGACAAAGATGCCGAAGAGAAATACAGAAAGCTATTGATACTGAGAAAAAAAATGGAGCTACTGGAATTGAAAAAGAAGGAGGAACAGGTACTAACATATCATACAATAATTTGTAAATATCTTCGATTTCTTTGTTTTTTTTGTTTTAGAAGTTGATTGAAGAAAAACATAGAAAGGCAAAAGAAGAAAGTGAAATGTTGGAACGGGCCAAGAAGGCCAAACGGGAGGCCATCGAGAAGGAAAAATTGTTGAAAACCTACAAGGTCCTTCAAGAGTTAGATGGAAAGAAGGTGTCAAAATCAAAGAGGAAGATGAGTACCTCAAGTAGTAGTAGCAGCTCCGATAGTGAACGGGAAAGGTACTTACATGTTACAGTATATTTATATCTGAAACTTCTATTATGCGAAATTATTCAATTTCAATTTTTGAGATTCTATGATTTTATGACAAAAACTGACATGAAAAAGCCGTGCAATCAATCAAAGGTGAAGCTAATTTTTCAAAACAATTTATTTAAGCGATGCTACTGGCGGCAAAATTTTACAAATCAATTAGAATCTTTTTTTAACTAAGATGAAATTATTGTTGACATTTTTTATTTCTTTTCCTGTAAAAATGAGACTGTTCTCTACATTTCTTGAAAATCTGAGGATTTCACTTGGAAAAGATCAAGCATTTCGTGCTATTAGTTGGTAGCAACTATTGTCAAATTGAGTGTCATTTGTCAATGCTCTGGCTATCGTCAACGTCAATTATAAGTAGTTTATTTTGATTTTCAATAATAATAAAGCTGTCAGTATGGTTTAACCTCAAACCAACAAAAATGTAAACAAAATAGATGTCAGTATTCGCGATAGACTTGTTTTGATGTATGTGACCAATAAGCACTTACAATACAAATGTGATCCAATGAAAACAAATCAATCAGACCGCTTCCACAGCTTTCAAAAACTCTGATAGGTGGCGTACTCTTATTTTCTATCGCGAATGGTGTAAATCAGGTTTAAAACCACTGTTGCCTGACTTGAGTTATTAATATTTTGGAGGAATTGAAATATCTCTTCAACCTTTCAACAGAAATTCAAATTAGAATGAGCAACTTCAAAAATGAGCTGTCAGCATCTTTGTTTATTTGTATTTATCCATAATTTCATGATCGTCAATTATTATGTTCATTTATGTTTCCTCTGTAATTCTCATTTCACCAGGTATTCAGTTTATGATTTCAAGGAATGATCCAATTTCCACATATACCATTTATTGAGGTCGTCATTTCAGGTACATACCATTGCTAACTATGATGTTGAAGCGAAATTTCCCGAATCATAAACTATTATTATCATTTTTATTAATTTTATCATTAGATTTATCGACAAATCTTGTATTGCTGTACTGCCGTAAAACGTTTTGCAGTTTTATCTGTGCGTGTGCATGTACGTCATGAAAATGGTGGAGGAGCCGAAACTATCTGCCTGAAATTTTATCCCACGAAAAAAATGTGTTCAATGAATACTCATAAACTATACAGAGGAATGAACATTTGAATGTTGGGAATTCGCTCATTGCTGCAAACAAATAGCACACAGAGTACAGACTCTCTGACTTTTTCTAAAATTGTTCCGGAAAAAAATGTTTCACGTTATTCAAACGCATGCATGGGAAAGTTTTTATAAAATAAGTTCGGAACTCTTCAGTTTTATGTCCACGCTGTACAGAATGGCGACCGATAAAGTCCAAGTCGTTTTCATTTTCAAATTGAAGCAATTTCTAATTTTTGGGGCGGCAAACTATGACGTACATTCTGAATCTACTCTGAAAATAGCTGATGAAGAATATAGCTAGCGAATAGCTAACGAAGGGCTAACGAATGAAAAACGAATGAAAAAAATAGAAGAAGAAGTGAAACTGATAAACGAAAACATATAACCACAAATGCACTTGGAGCAGGAATGCAGAGGGTAGTTGGCTTCATTCTGAAAGGTTATGGTTTCGTTATTTATGCATTGAAATATCTCGCATAGAGCTTGTTCCTTAACGAAAATATCATTGAATCAATGAATCACTATCGGCTACATTCAATGATACCATCCTTTCTAATATACTATCATCGGTCAGAACAGAATGAAGCCGACACCCATGACTCCTTCCTCTTGTTGTGCTTGTCAGTATTTTGAGTGGTGTGGACGGACTCGAAGTATTAGGCGCTGTTGCAAGATATAATCTGCAACTTTCCTAGAAAATAGATCCGTTTTATTAAGGAACGAATTCATTAGCAAAAAAATGAATGACAAGTTATGAACATATTGTTATATAACGATAGTGAAAAATTATAGATACTATCGCGAAATATCATGATTTATCTTTATTAGTAATCAACTTCATTCAGCCAATGAGAGATTTATGGGAGTTATCCATAATACTTGATAAAGTAGGATTGAAGAACCTATTATATCCCATTGCTGTTATGATATTGTTAAAATGCATTCAAAGAACAATTTCCGGAAATCCAGACATATCGATTATGTCGGCAACGTCGTACTGGCACAAGGAATCGTATTTTAACTCTGTGTGAATGTGGATTTTCAGAAAGTACGTCATAGGAATGGTGGAGGAGCCAAGTTCCTCTTTCATTTATTGTTTTCTGAAGTAAAATTTGATCTTACGGAAAAAAGAAAAAAATCGTATATATCAATTTTTCACAAACTTCACAGTGAGATAATAACCTCAATATAGAAAACTTCCCCATTTGAATATGTCGAATACATAGGGGGCTATTTAAAAATTCAAAGTGGATGACATTCTCAGAATATCCAAAATTGATTTTCAAATAAGTATCAAAAATGATAATTCTTCTAACTTCAAGATGGCTAACGGCCTTGTAAACTTTGCCATGCCATAATATAGTACCGTAAATAACAAGTATTATTCTCAGAAAAAGGCGGAGGAAGCGTTCCAGGTCCGCATCCAAATCCAAACATCACAGGAAATCTCGCAGTAGTTCCAGAAGTCGGTCCAGAGATAGAAATCGTACATCAAGAAGGCACCATAGATAATTTCAAAGTTATAGTTAGTGCACATATTATTTTCAGGTTTGTTAATCTGTGTATGTATAAACAAACTTATGGAAAAAACATTTTTCAATTAATTATTGAATGTATCATTGAATAAATCATGTGTTTTATTGCACCTACCCTATATATTATTTCTATCTGTGCCTTATTCTTATCGCCCTTATTCAGACAAACACTGAGGCGGTTCTAGCCTGTCTACTCTGAATAAAAAAAATAAGGTAAGACCAATGGAATATAATAAATTATCTTAATTGTTATTTCAAGAAAGAAAATAGGTAGGTACATGTTTGTTACAGGAAACTAGGAAAAGAAAAAAGGAACAAATATTATTGAAGCCATTGAATCCACAAATAAATGGTTACAGAAAATGAGTCGACAGTGGACATATAAATAATATTCGAAATTGTTATAAATAAACAGGGCCTTTCATTGAAACTTTGTTTCCTAGAATTAAATAATCCCTCAAATTCTTATGAAACTAACCATGGAAGTACGATACGGAACATGTACGGAAGTACAGGAAGTGATTTAATAAAAGAGGTCCCTTCAAATAGCCACCAAAATCACCTGATCTAATTCCTCTGGAATTTTTCCAGTTGAGCCATTTATTAATATCCTGTTGGGTGGAACAGGGTACTTGAAAACACACTGTATTATTTTTTTGTTTGCAAGTTGACAGAGTCATTTCGAGGAAACAATAATAATTATTTTAATTATCTACAACAAATACAAATGTGGTTATTCAGTAGAATGAAACAAAAACTCAATATTATTGAGGGGCATTTCTGTCAGGCCGATGTGCAACTGTTTTCGTAGTAGAATTCAAAAATAGTATATTACGTAAGTGTTGTAAGAATCATATTATTACGCATGAATGGAAAAGTGTAATTACTTTACAACACGCATTACGCCGTACTATACCTTACCTACTGCCATATAGTACATCAAAAAAGTTTGGACAAACAGTACGTCTGAATTATGATTCTTGACCGTTATGTCATCCGCGGTTGACGGCGATTACGCGATCATGACATACCTTATACTGGCGGAATAAACGAAAACTGCGATGTGCTTACAGAGGCTGATGTATCTCGTGTGTTCTTGCCTACTTCCTATAGTGGCCGTAGGTAAAAGTATGAATATGCATATTATGTTCCATTAAAAATAGTTATTTATTATACAAGGGAAAAAAGTAGTAGATTTTAGCTCCAGGTTGTGTTGTCTCCCGACGCGTAGCGGAGGGAGACAAAAAACCGTGAGCTAAAATCTAATATTTTTCCCGTGTATAATACACTATTTTTTTCTGTGACAGAAGGAAGGACGAATCAATATTGGAAAGGTATTACATTATTTCGAAATCTGAAAATTATCGACGTGAAATTTCAAGTTTTCAACAGTAGGGACACCTGCGTTTTATAGACATCTTCATCATTCTTTTGAAGTAATCAAATATCTGATGTCACTTCTGTCAGTTCAATTCTGTTATTTGATTTTAAAAAATTGCGAATTCAGTAGTTGTTTAGTAATATACGAAACCGCGAAGTCGAATGGAAGATAAAAGGACTTGCAGTTCTTTCTCGGAGACGGTATTATTGACTTATTTTTCGGAACTATAGCACAACAAAAGCCATTAACAGAGTATATATATGTGATATAGGTATATCCGGGAAAGAAGTACTCACTTTTTTCCCACGGGAAAAAAGTAATTTCTGAAAAGTGACATTTTATAACCTGCCAACAGAAATGAAATGCCAAACTTTTTTCCCGTCACAGAAAAAATATATTTTTGTTTATTACTCAATAACTTGAGGCTCAATTGTTTTTCTGTTCTTGCCATTGTTATCAGCGGAAAAATGCTGATGGTTTGTTAATTCACTTCAATTTGGATCACCCTGTATATCCCAAACTGTGTCCTGGGTAAATTATTACTCAATGGATGATACATTAGTGGTATGAATGGCATTCATGGCATCCGTATCGCATAACGGAGTCACATATTTTGAATTTTCACCATCTAACTCATTCCACTTTGTTCGATTCTCGATGATGACTATCTTGGCGCTCGGCAAAAGCACGAATTCAATCTGACCTGAAATGAAGATACAACAAATCTCTCAAGAAATAATCTATGCGGTGAGGATTGCCCCTTTTTTATTTCGATGTGATTAATGAAAAAAAAACGGAAGGCATTACTGTTGAAGTCGATAGTGATTCCCTATATCAATGATTTTTTTTTTAGGAAATTCTCTGTAATAGTAGTTCATCTAACAAGTGGGGAAAGTGCAATCACGTGCTGCTTAATCGCACGTGTTAGAGTGTTAGGTTAGGTATACTGCATGCGTGCGAAAAAAATCCATAAAGAAACATTTACTATTATTGAATATTCAAATGTCGGTATACAGTCCCCAGAAACCGAGCCATAAACTTAATAAATTTACTTTTTCTACAACTGCTATGAAAAGTAGCGTATTCTTATTCTCATAGCTTATTTAGTTTCAAAACCATGTACCTCTATTGCTCAATTCTCATACTGTGTTAATTATTTTTTTCTCCAAGCGGCAGGGAAAGTGTGGCTTTTCTCTGACACCTAACAGGCATGAAAGTTGTATTTTCTTTTCCTAGGCAAAATTTGTTGCTATGCAACATTCCAAGAAATTTGAATGAAATTATTGGTACCTAGCCAACAGGACATGGAAAGATTAAACGAAAATCGAAAAAAATTTAGTGGGCTGCTGTTCAGCATTGAATAGTTCTTAGAATGGCCCCAAGAATCGCCTCCTCAAATATTGACATTCAATTATGAAACACCCTGTATACTGATTCCGAAGGATTATTTGTTGCGCCCTGTTTGTATGGGTCCTGTCTCTAAATGCTTCATTTCAGGTCAGATTGAATTCGTGCTCGGCAAAATGGGTTCGGCTCCTGCGGCATTCTCCCGATTCGCGATTAGTCCGATTTCGTGCGTGTTGAAAGTGTGGTGGGTGATATTACGTGTTTTTAATCCTTCCAAATGAATACTCATTTATGGCGTTGCGAATTCTCCAATTTAGCGCCCTGTTTGCCGTAGGATCTTCTTTAGGTCATATACCTAATCCAGGTGAGTTTGTCAATTCTCTGATTTTTATAAATCGTGTTTCGGAAACAGGAAAACACTGCGTGTTTTGGTCCTTCCTTGTGTGTTATCCAATATGGCGGTTGTTTTGGTTTCGCTTGAATGTTTTTCTCGTGAATAATAACTACTTTCGTTACGATTTCAACCTAAATTTTATTGGCCGTATCCTTCCGGTTTATCTATATCTCGAGTTATTTGGTAATTTTGCTGAAAAACCTACAGAGTTTTGCTGTCAATGCAAAAACATGTGTGTGTGTGTGTGAATAGTCACTACCACCAGTCGACACAAACATGTAGAATTGTCGAGGTTGATTATTAATTGATTAATGATGATAATAACACACATGTAATATGTAATACAAGAAGAAATTAATCTTCTTTGTAAATTGTAAATACTGGATTAGATACCTATCAATGAAACCCAGAATTAATGAGCAGTATTTCAATCATTTGAAAATAAATAAAATACCTAGGGCTTGTGTTTAGTATAGTACCTGAGGCTGAAGTAGGTACTTTGGTTGATGAAATTATTTTGTAATCTTACAAACTTCCTCTTGTTCATTGGTGTCAATTCAGGATACATTTGGTTGAATTTTCTGCAAATTCTGGCATTGATTTGATCACATTGTCCGTGTATAATAAATAACTTCATAAGAACCAATAAGAACTTCATTTGAATAATCGATATTTGCATTCATTCTGGGAGATTTTTTGAAACACTGTCAATAACAATTACTGAATTACTCATTAATGTCACCGAACTGTCATGAGTTTGATATTTCGATGGCTATCTAGAATTGACTTTTTCATAAAATTATATTTTTCACAAAATCGGCTTTATTAAGAAAACTTGATGATTTAGGTATAGATAGATAGATAGATAGATAGATAGAGTTTATTAATCCTTTGTGCTACAACATGTATAGATAGGATAAGTCACACATGATGGTAAAGGGTACAAAACTACAATTTAAAAAAAATAAATAAATAAATATAAAATACATAATAATATATATAATATAATATATATTTATTCATTCCAGAACAAAACAGTGTACATAGAAACGAATTAAAAATTGAAATGAATAAATGAAAGATACTCGATAAGTAAATAAATACTTGTTTCGAGATACTTAATCTAATATTACACTCAGATAAAAACATGGAAATAAGATGATGCATCTCAACAGTTGAACAGAACAGAGTCAAGAACAACTTTAACAAAAACAGAATGCAGAATAAAATAAAATTGAGATGAATAATTATGAAATATCAAATATTTAGAAATAAAATCGATAATAAAATCAATGTATAAGTATTTATGAACACATGTTATTAACAACAAATTATGTAGGTACTCTAGAATTGAGGGTATGTAAAGAAGCATTATTCAGGATCTCAGTTCTATGATGTCGTTGCACCACGCTCTTGAATTTTCTTGTATAAATTTTTTTAATCTATATTTGAAGGTTTTGAAGCAAGCTGTTAATTTCAGTTCTTCAGGAAGTGAATTATACGCCCTTGGTGCAATGTAGATGAAGGTTCGCTGACAAGTAGACTTGGTCATTCGTGGAAATAATACTAGATTAAAAGTATATGTGATACATATTCTTATATGGAACACATTTGTTAATGTTCCATCTTCAAGTAAAAGAGAAAAAAAAAATAAATTAACATGTAAAACTTCATATTATTTATAAAATTATAGTCAAATAGTACCGACAGCTAGTTTAAATTCATCTACAGTATAAAAACCATTGTCGGCTAAAAATATTTTCAATTTCCTCTTGAAATTTTGAGGTTTCAGTACTTTCATTTCAGTTGGTAACATGTTGTAGAGACGAACACCGGCGAACATAGGGGATCTTTCATATTTTGAGTGATGGTGTTTATGAGTAGTGATCATATTTCTACTTCTTGTATTATGGGTGTGAATTTCCGTTCTCGTTTTTAATTCGCCTTTCTTTCCATGTATAACTGTT